AAGGTATCAATTAAATTAGAAAATTTCAAATTATAATTAAATGTAATGGGCTTTTGACTTAACTGCAAAATTGAAGGTTTAATAGGAAGTTAACCTCAGAATTTCGGGTATTTTCGAAAAAAAAAAAGTAGCGTAGAAGCATGGAAATTTGCTAGCCAGTAGAAAGCCTTGCACATCACGCTAAAATATAACAATTTTCATGAAAACCTCGCGTTTAAGAGTTTAGGCAGAGAAATGGGACGTCCACGTCACAAAAATGGGCCGTCCGAAGCGATAAAACATAGACGCATTAATGACAAGCTGTTTCTCGAAGAAGCAGTAACATGGAGAAGCGCTATGGTACAGTGCACGTCAGTACTGTAACACTACAGTAAGCCGGCAAAACAGTCAAATTCCCTTGAACCGCAAAACCTGCAAACCTGCCCACCTCTCTTCTGCAACAACGTCTTTGGCTTCAACGGCAGCGGGTTAAACATTGCCCATCCGATCGGATTCTCCACCGGCGGTGTCCCGCCATTATTATTTAAATTGTGCGGCACCGAAGCCGACGTTTCCTGGGCGGCCATGCCAATCTGTGGCTGTAGACTATGGCGTTGAAGGAGGGCGAGAAGGGTCGGGCCGGGCAACGCGTCTCGACGCGAAGATCCACGCCTCACCACCAGATGGGGCTCGGCCATCAAGTGAGCCGACATCGATTGCAGCATCTAATGACGTTATCTCTCGTCGAAGGAGGTTTTCTTTGTTTATCTCTAGGCGTCGGCTCTCTCTCTCTCTCTCTCTCTCTCTCTCTCTTTATTAATAACGGCCTCTCGGCTTGTTTCTTGCAAATGGGGGACTGGGAATTTGTTCGATGAATGGCCAGCTTTAGGGCCCAGGCCTAAGGGAGAGAGAGAGAGAGAGAGAGAGAGAGAGAGAGTGAGAGTGAGAGTGAGATGAACTGAGAGCGAGAAGGCTACAGATGCTGGTCAAGAACGAATCTTTGAGGAGCATGACATTTCTCATAGCCAAGTTCGTTCCGCTTAGATATCGCTGAACCTTGGTAAAACCAAATTTTTAACTTAGATAATTTCATGGATATTTTCATAAAACCTATTTCTAAATTTTAGAAAATATCTAAGATAGAAAAAGGTGATTTATGCCAAATTAGTCAGAATTTGATTTTCGGGGTTATTTAATCCAATTAAAATGTGTTTTAAAATTTTTAAGAGCAAAAAAACCGTTTTTAAGGTTGGATTTTGCTATGATTTGCATAATAAAATGGATAAGAAATGGATATAAAAACAGACAAATGGAAAATCATCCGGTATATCACAATAAACCTCACCTTGCCAGTCGATCTCCCCGCTTAGGGGGCGGAGCTTCTTCAAGTGAATATTTCTTCAAAAAATAGTACTTGAAGTCGGATCTTGAAAAAAATATAAGTCGGCCCGTGTGATCCAGTGGGTGGTGGGTGGGTGTGAATGGGGTTCGTGAATAGTTGATTTTATAGTCGTGCCCTCGCAGTCGGAGTTTTTCTCTGCGGAAATGGCCGTTCTGAGCCTCTAAAACTTGGCTTTTGCACATATATGAGAGTACGGTAGATGAAGGAGCACGAGTGCGAGAGATTGGGGGATGGGAGGGAAAGATTTCCCCGGAGGCGCTAATAAACAAACTTTTCCCTGATTTTATGCCAAAATTTGATGTTTTGAGAGACAGTAACACGGCCGATTTTGTTAATCAAAAATGAATCTATTAAACCACGGCTAGACCAGCAATTTACGCCATATCGAAAATTTGTGATTTAAAGGGGCCCAGAAATGTCAAAAATTGAGTGACGGCCTGAAAATCGGAGGCGTGGACGTCGGAGGCCTCTGTACACCCCGTGGCCCGGGAAGCTCGGAAATTTGAAATAGCCTGTTGCCACCTCGAAATCACGTTCTCGGCTGTTTCTGGGCCAAATTTTATGCTTAAAAAACCAAAACTATTTAAAATTGAGTGAGGATTTCAAAAACGGGCTCAGAATGCGCAAATTATAGTATTTTCACAAAGAAACCGGGCAAAAACAATTTCGCGCAAAAAGCGAAAGAGTGAGTGCTCTGGTCCCGCAGCGCCCGCTGGCAATTTGCCAGAAATCAAAGAGCCCTCCCAAAAGGGCTTTGATTTGGCATTTCGTAGCCCCTTTAAATGGACTGAACAGCAAACTTACATTAGCAAATTGTTTTCGCAAAAACGTACATTTTCCCGAATCGGAATGCTTGCTGACACCATTCCTTTAAAAAGATTCGAAAAGGTTTCGGCATTATATAGCTTGTTTTCAATTTCCAAACCTAGCAAGCTACGTTGGGGTCTATAATTACGGTACTTCGCACCGGCTTACCAAAAAGCGCATTGAGTTACTGTAGTAAAAGATGTTTTCATCATATGGTAGCTACACCGCGTCATAGAACGGAACAATCCTCAAATCCAATAAAATCGTCTCAACTGGAGTTCGAGAATGGCTATAAGGCGCGGCAAAAATGACGACCCTTTTGGGTATAAGGTTTTCGTGGCGGGACCCAGAGGCCAGAAGGGAGAAGCTGGGCGAAAAGGGCAAAAGCCAAAAAGACCACCAAAAGAAGAGGAAGATGTTTAAAGGGGGGTGGAAGTGCTTTGGTGTCCCTGAGGCGCTGCTCACAACTTGGGGTCGGAGGAGCCGGAGCTTCACTTTCTCTTCACTTTTTGGCCGGCTTCCAACTGGCCGAGAGGGGTCCCGACACGAAAATGCCACTTGGGACTCGTTGCATACCCTGGTTAGTTGGACGGCTTGCTAAAAAGTGCCCTTTTTGGCGGGGCTTTTTGGTTTGTTTCTGTGGCGGGGGGTCAAAAAGAGGCACTTGCGCCCGGGGAGAAAGAAGATGATGTTGCGCATACATTTCAAGCGTCTAGGATAAAAGCCCTGGGAAAAGTGTTCGTTTTCGCGGTTTTAAAGGAACTGGGAAGGCTAGAATTGCTGTAGATTCTTAGCACGAATTCATCCCTCCATACTGCTTGCAGTTTAAGTGAAAATACATGATTGTCTCAAAAACGTAAAATTGGAACTCAGCCAGCAGGTTAGGCTAAATTCCGATTCCAAGCTTCCTAGTCCCTTTAAAAGCTTTTTAAAGACTGGGAGGTGCCAGACTCGACCCTCCCATCGGCTGGCTCTAGACATACAAGCGACACACCAAAAAGCTTTAGTTTGGGTGACTTGGTTTCGACAAATTCCAAATTCGCCACATGTCTTTTGGCACGTCGCGTAGTTATCGAGACCTAGTTGGGCCAAAGGGATGATTTTCGCGCTTTCTAGATTCTTTAAAGGGGCGTTTAACCTTCCCAAAAATATCTTAACGCTCTGTCTCACAAATCAAGTTCCACTTATTAAATCTAAGTGCATCAGGGGCCTCACGAAAGCCGTTCTTCTACGAAAAATATAAGAAAACTAAAAAGCGTTCTGTTTTTGTCTAGTCTCCGCTTCCCCAGTGACCCCAGAGATTCGCGTGAAAAATGGGGGCAAATTTGTCAAAAAGTTGCCAGGTTTCGGAAAATATTGCTCGTTGGAGCGGAACGCTTGGACGTTATGCTCAATGATTATACAAAATTAATAAAGCTTGTACATTTTTCATTTAATTAATACTTTTTGGGGAGGTAATAATTATAGCTATTAAGAACTAAGTAAAGTAGATACGTAAGGCAGTTAGTAACGAAAGTATTTTCTCCGTAAATAAAGCTCCAAATGCTTGCAATAGTTGTTTTTTGAGAGGGAACACCCCTTGGCTCCGAGCATAAGCCCACCCCTTTTTGAGCTGCAGCGGCCGGTAAGCCAGCCATTAGTTTTGGTTCGCCCCCTTTTTAGAAACGCTCCCGGGGGTTGCATAGAATTTTTGGTGGTCAAAGGTGAAAGTCTAGATTTCAAAATTCGATGAAATCTACCAAGCCGTTACGCAATAAATCTCAAATGGGCTTTAGGATCGAAAATAAAGTAAGAGGCAGCCTAGCAAAAGCAAACCAGGAATCTCTCGAATGCGCTGACTTAAGTCGCGTAAGCTAGCGAGGATCTTTGAGGAAAAAGCATTATTTCGACAAATCCAGAAAACGCAACCGAGTACGCCATCCAAATCCAAAGAGCTGACGCCATTTTCAGAAAGTCAATTTTTGGTACGCTAGCAGCATTCTACGAAAACCAGCATAGGAATTTTCAAAAAAAAAACAACATTTTTCAACCGGCTAGCTGGCAGGAATCTCCCAGGAATTTGGTATAAAGCAGCATAGAGACAAATTTTGTGTGCCGGAAGCCAGCAGCGATTCGTTAGAAATTTTGGAGTGCTCAAGCTAGCAACAGTCTTTTCGGGATTTGTAATTAAACTACCTAGCAGACGTTCTTGAAGAATTTTTTGAGTGAAGAAGGCTACCTGAGGCCCTTTAGGAAAGTCACTGCAAGGCAGCATGGCAAGGTCCTCTCGTAATTTCCAAAGAAGCGAGCTAGCAGAGATCTTTTCGGAATTTCTAGGGAAGCAAGCGAGCAGAGATTTTTAAGAATTTCGGGGCGAGGCATGCTAGCGGAGGTCCAAGAAAATAAAAGAATGGAAATCGCGACAAAATGCGTCCAATTCGCCATTGAAATGTTTCACTGCCCAATATACTTTCCGTTTTTAGTACCTTCCCCTTTGGGAGTAGATGTCCCCTCCCCCTAAAAGCCATCCATTTCCCGGGTCAACTTTTCGTGTGGCCCGACTAGGTCGAGGGTGAGAAGCCAAGTGAGCAGCAGGGTGAGGAGAAGGAGCTGCCCTCCTCACCCTAAAAGCTGGGACGCCGTCCAATCCGTCATTTCGGCACCACGAGTTCGAGAGCTTCAAGAGGGGCCTTTTTGAAGTGCCAAGTCGGGCCGTTTCTTTTGGCCTTTTTGGGGCGGTTTGAGTTACATTTTAAGGGTGTATGGGTACGTGTTTTGCAGAGGAGTGAAATACAAACGGAATTTTGCATGAATTAAAAACATGAGAGCCTTAAAAGAAATCGATAATCGCGAGCTTGAGGTAATTTGGGAGATGTTCGATCAACAGCTGATGGCCAAAAAGTGTTTCTTAAATTTTCATTACGATTCCGACGGCGAAAAACAAAGAAAATCGGCTTCAATCATGAAATATAGCTACAGTATGACGAGTAAAAAACTCTAGAAGCCAAAATATGTTTCTAAACGACGTAAAACCGACAAAACCCTTGACAGACCTGAAATACAGTAAAATCGCGTAATTTTCTATGTTAATTACAAAAAAGGCGCTAAAATCGCTAAAACAGACATGGTTATCGTAACCAGAAAATAGCGATTTTTCGAAATTTAACAGCTTAAAAAAACGCTTGAGAATATGGTAAAACAACAAAGTCGTCCTGAAAAAGCTGAAAAAGTTGATATTTCATAAAATCCGGAAACACGATGATCACGAATTACAGCTACTTCCACAGGTGCGGTGGAAAATTAAACACGGTGCGGAGAAAGGAATCAAAACACCGTAAATCGGGGCAAAATACGCCCAACGTAAAGTGTCGTAGGCTTACTTGCTCGCAGTGGGGTGAACCCTGCGGAAAACGCAATCACGGTTTTTGCTCAATGAAAGAAAATATCTCATTTTGGCGCGACGGACTTTTTTTACCAAATTCGGCACAATATTTGCACTTTTTAGCTCCAGAAAATTTTTCAAGCGTGAAAATCGGTGCAGTCAGTTTAAGGAATCGTAAAATACCTAGCGTCGCGGCTCCAAACGGTGTAAATTGAAGTAGAAGCGGTGTCTTGCTGACGGAGGGCAGCGGCTTCTTCTGGGCCTTATGCGAAATCGCGGCCGCAAGCGGGTCGACCTGGATCAAGGAGTCGCGGAACGAGCGCAGCGCCCACGAGACGAACATCTCCTGTAGGGACAGTTTGGTAGAAGGCAGAAAAAAGTAAAAAGCGCTTAATTCCCGGGATTTTTTACCGTAACTATCGCTGAAAAATGCCAGAAAACGTAAAATTTTGGTTTTCCCGGTTTCTTACAACTTCTAAACAATCGAATTTTCCCAGTTTCGATAGAATTTTGAAAAATTAAACTGGTATTTTCATAATTTTAAAAATGTCATCAAAGTGGTATTAATGTACGTGCCTACGAGATTACAGTATTCAAGTGGGCGGTCTATTTTAATTCTAATAATTCTAACTTATCAAAATTTAATTACAACAAATCATTTTAAATTAAGGGTTTTTATTACTGTAAAAACGATAAAATCAAAAAAATTGTATATTGATTAATTTATAAATAGAAAAAACACTATAAAGCCAAACCAATTCTACTTAAAACAGCTATATCTCAAAAATCGTAATATCCAAACCTCCGCAGTACCGCCCGGTACGTGAAGTAGGTTCTGTAAATACGAATCCATGCCTAGCGAATACGGTAGCCAGGTCAGAATTTAGGCAAAATTTAGCAACGAGATCTCGAGATCTTTGCGATACTACAGCTGACCAGGGAATGGCATTTCGTGGCGCCCGCCCTTGGCCAGATCGGGAAGTCTTTGCTCGGTGCAGCCCCCTGTTGTCCATGCGCAATCGACCAAAAAATTTACATCCCGATTTGGGGCCGGGCAGGGCAAGAGGAGGTCGGAAAGTGTCTAATGTCTGCCATGCACGCGCGGCCGTCCCAGGGCTACTAATGGAACAACTCCCCCCTAATCCGGGCCCTGAGCCTTGTTGTAGTGGTCATTTTGAGAAGTCAACTATGAATTTTGGGTTCAGGCTATCCCTTTCCTAGGCTTAAAATTTAGTCTAAACTTCAAATCTTTCAATATGTAAATATTTCTTTAAAAATTTTAATAATAAATATCTTCATTCTTATGATTTTAATTTTGATACTGGTGCCTTAACAAGGGGGAGATACTCGCAAGCTACCTTTTTAGAACGCTTATCCTATGCTAATTGGGATTGCGCTATTTTGGCTAAACTAAAAATAAGAACATTATTTTTGTTCTTCTAATTACGATGTAAAAATTCTGAAAAAATCACGAAACAATCGAAAATCTCCGGATACACCCCCCATTAATGCGCCAGAACCTGCATTAAGCCTGAAGCAAAAAAAAATTTCTTCTACGCTAAACTCGGATCTTTATTGAAAAGGACTGAAAAACTATAAAAAGTTTGATTGTAATTCGACACGACTTTTAAAGAGGTAAAAATCGTACTTTTTATGAAAAGTTGCGGCTTCCAAGTTTTGTTTTGATCTTCACGCTTTATTCAAAACTTTTAAGGTATCTGATGTACCTTAAAGCTATCACTTACGCGATTCGAGTCCATCATCGTCGACTACCAAAAATAATAATAGCCAAACTCGAGCTTTTCCGCTCAATAAGTCCAGAGTTCCGCAACAAAACAAGACCCGAAAAAGTGGGGGGCAAAAACTCACCAGCCAGTAGCCCATCTCGATCGACCCGTCAGCAGCGGCGGTGCGGAACCGGCGGAAAAATTCGTGGACGTCGCCGAGGTTGAATTATTAAGGGTTTGTGTAGGGGGGCCAGGTAGAACTTCCCCACCACTACAAGCCGCACCTCTTTCCGCCCTCCGGGCGCGCGAAATTGCCGCCGTTTTTCCCACTTTTTAACGGCTTTGTCAAGCCGGCAGTGGGGTCGCGGCGGCGGCGTAGAAACTAGGGGGGGCTTAGGGCCCACAATGGCCATTTTTTGGCCGGTGGGTCCTTTGGTTTTGGCGGGCCTGGCAAAACTTGGCCCCTTCCGGACTGGCCACCAGGCGGCTGGGTACATTTGGAATTAAAAACCCCAACGGGGCAACCGGGAACTATTATTTTTTGGAGGTATAGTGAGGTCGTCTGGGTCATGAAAAAGCTCGAACTGCTTGAAATCTTGTAAATGGCAGCAAGAGCGTGATTCTTTTGGGCTTCGTATCATCCCAAAAATCATCCAGCTAAGTCACTTTGATGACGAGAGAAAAAGAATGAGAGAGAGGCGGAAAGAAAGAGAGGGTAAGAGAGAGTGAGAGAGAGAAAGGGGGGAAAGAGAACCGAGAAAGTGAGAGAGAACGAAAGAAAGAGACAATTAGGGGAGCTGCCGGAGCTAGATGACGAGAAGGGAGAGAGAGATAAAGGGAGAGAGAGCGAGAGAGAGAGAGAGAAGGAGAGAGAGAGATGGAGCAAGATATATCACGAAATTCGAGAAACGCAAACCTAATTGGGTTCTGTTTAGCCAATCTAAGAAAGGGAGAGTGAGATCTAAGAAATATTATTTTGAGTGCCAAAAAGCAAAATTTCTGAAATAAATGTCGTAAACATTTTGAAAATATCTTTAACAACACGGGAAAACATACAACAAGAAAAACTGGAAGGATGTACAAATCCCCTAAATTTTTATAACCTTAAAACGTAAAGCGATTCGTCGACTTCACAGAAATATTTTAAAGATCTTAAAAATTTATGTAGGCAGTCATGCAACGCATATAAACTCCATGCAGCACGCAAATGCTGGCGCGACAGTCATGCCAGTCCCTTACCTGTGAAAATCATGAATTTAACGACTAGAGGAAATGGAATGGACTAGTGACAAGTGAATATCTGTGGTATAGAGAGGGTGGTGAGTATAAAAAACACACTATGTGGATATGTCCCATTGAATATACCAAAAGGGCACACATCCCGGTGTATAAATTATTCAGAGGGTCAGCAGACAGACAGATAAGAGGGAAGTCAAAAAGCAGCCGGCTGGGCTTTGGAACTTGGAATTAAAGGGGCTAGGAAGGGAGGAGGAGGAAGAAGAGGAGAGGAGAGAGAAAGGGAGAGAGAGATAGTGGGAGAGAGAGCGATAGCCAGAGAACGAGAAAGCGAGAGAGTCAAAGAGAGAGAGGGGAGGTCAACGAAAGCCAAGGAAAATGAGGAATAGCAAGAGAGACAGAGACGTGGAGGCGAGGGAGAGTGAGAGTGAGAGAGAGCACGAGAAAGAAACAGGGAGAGAGAGACGTATTCAGTGTCTAAATCCGGACACAAAAACCACATAGTAACATCCAAACACCCAAAAACGGAAACCAGCCCCCCAAAAATACACCAGTGTATATTTTTTTCGAGCTCCCGACATAATCAAATCTCAGCCGACCAAGTCTGCACAGATCTGGAGGGCCGGCTGAAGATCCTCGGCCCCCTCCCCAATTTGTCCGGCATTCACACCCCGGGCAAAGTGAGAAAACGGCAAGAGGGAATAGATCCAAAGCGAGTGCCAAAAATCTGGCCTCCCAACACGCGAACGCATTCACACAGCAAGGAGCGTTCGGGTGGTGTTGGGGCTGATGAGGTCGACTATAGGCTGGGAAAAGCGGGGTGACAGTTGAGAAACGTTGAAACGAGGTTGGTGTATTCAGCAAAATGCCATTCATACCCGGTCCAGACGTTAATTTTCAGTTTAGTCATTTCAGGAGTACCAAGCAGGAATGGGGGAGCGAGATGAGAGAGAAAGAGAAGGGGAGAGATAGAATGAGTGGTACGGATTCATTAAAAGAAAACTCGACAAGGAAGACAAGGCAGCCGGCAGCACCAGGCTGGTAAGAAACATGGAGCACCCTTGCAGAAGGTCTTGGTAATTCAGAAGGAAATTGTGGTTTGTACGACGAAGACCTATTGACCCTGGCGAACTAGCCGAAGCATTGAAGGAATTTCGGGAAGAAGGCTTGAAGTTATTCGTGAAAAAGTCTATGTTATACAGAAATTTAAACATGAAAGTGAAGGAGTTGGGGCGTGAAGAAATAAACAGAAATAAACCAAAAAAGTAATTAAGAATCACTCTAATAATACATTAATGACATGACCCACTTTCATTTTCATCCACCGCCTCGTCGTCCTCATCGCTACTTCCGGTATGTGTAATAAATATTGTCGGTGTCTCGTCAATCGTCACCACCATCGAATATCTTCGCCGCGAGGAACTTGGGGTTTTCAGGGATGATTTCGGCATTTTTGGTCAATAGCTGAACCTGAGCTGTTAAAGAAGCCGTGATACCCGTTATTCAAAAAGCGAGGTTCAAATCATCAAAAAACGCGAAATACAGACTTTTTCGGAAAAAATGGGACGCTAGACGCCAAATGCACTGCGCCTCCAAAAAGTAAACGCAATTTTGGAAACTGGGAGCTCGGGCTTCCTTGCCGGCCTAGAAATAAACAATATTTTTAGCGGGCGGCCCATTTGGGGGAAGCCCACTCCGGGGAATTAGCGTAAAAAAGGAAAAACGGCTGCCGTAAATTTAAGATTTAAGCTTGATTCGTTTTTTTTATTTAAAAAAGTCAACTTCAATTGTTTCGATTTCCAACTGTACTTAAGCTGTCAAAATCAAACCTGGTTATTCAAATTTGGTTTTAAAGACCGGATGATTCTTCGAATAATTGTGGTTAGCAGAGGGAGAAGGATATTACATGCTGTATCTGGATAGTTCGTTGGTAGTTTGTGATTGCTAGGGAATCGAATAAAAGCTTACATTTTTTTGAAAGGTTTAAAATTGCCTTTTTCGATAATTTTTTATCTTCTTGAGCAAAAGCTAACGATTTTCAAAAATTTTGTAATTTTCATGAGGTTTAAATAGTATTCAGATAGGAGCTTAAACGCTTAACCATCAAAATAAATCGTAAAATTGGTTCTGCATTCACTAGATAAAAAAATCAGTTCTATTAAAGACTAGAACCGCAACATTCTGAAAAACCGAACTCGAGAATAGCAACAAAATAGCGGACGATTTGATGGGTGATGCATTAACGAGCGGTGTCCAGTTTTGGATGGGTCTCTTCAGCAAGGCACCCAGACGGAAAGTTTTCTTGCGTATTTTTCTTTTGGCTTTCCTTTCTTTTCTTTTCACTTCTTTTTGCTATTCCACTTTCTGACACATAAAGTCTTCCCCCTCTTGGCATAAAGGGAGCATTTGAGCACAAAATATCGGGGTGGGTGTTTGGAACGCACGAGCCAAAATAATGGGCAAGTGCGGGGGTAGAGGGTGAAATATGAATAATCGAGAATTCGGTAGATCAACACTGACAATTGGCATAAAAATAGAGTACACAGTACGACACGAAACAAGCGACAAGGGTACACGACCGGAATGTTCCTAATTATTGAAAACTTGGAAAAACCACATTTCCAGTTTGAAACATTGGGCTAACCATTTTTCCGTGCTCCAAAGAATATTAAAAATCCTAGACCAACCGTACGGCGCCGGCTGGTTGTTCAGCAACATCAGCAACTCAAGCGCGTCCTCCTGGTTCAGAGGGTAGTAACGCTGTCGACGATTTCGAGATGGGACGCGCCGGAATGGGCCCTAAAAACGAAGATTCGGAAAGGCCTGAAATTATCATGACTTTAAACACTATTTTGTGCGTTTTACACATGCTTGACCTTCCCGAAAAGATGCGATTTTCCGCAGTGTACGGGTGTCTTTTTGACCTCCGTCTCTCTCTCTCGCTCTCTCGCTCTCTCGCTGTCTCGCTCTCTTTCTCCATGTCTATGTCTGACTCCCTCTCTCTCCCTCTCACACACTCTTACTATCTCTCTCCCTATCTCTTCTTTCTTGTCAAGCTCTCCTTTTAGATTTTTTCGGTACGAAAAAGCCATCCCTCCATGCCAGCAGCCATTTTCTCGACCTCACAATTTCATAAATGCGAATTCCCGTGCTTTCGCTTTTTTGCATTCGAAAAACCTTTTCGGCTTCTCGCCCAGATTGCTCCTGATCGGTCGGTTCTTCAATCGTCACCGATTTCTTCTTCAAAATCAAATTAAATTAATTACAAAGGCGCGCTCAGTCCATGCTAACCAAAACTTGGGGTGCGGCCGAATGCTGTTTTTACCTCGTTAAGCTCCAGCTCTTGGTTCTCATCGATTTTTATGCATTTACGCTTCAGGAATTTGGATTCAAGGAATTATAAAGCATTTTGGATACCTTGTGAAGCTCCTCGTTTGACTGGGATGTTGGTAGCGGTTGCATAGAAAGAGCGCGAGGTCGTGGACGGGCGTGATGGAAGAGGCCCTAAAATAAAATACTGGTTATATTAATAAAATCTAGATTGGTATATATTATTATTGTTCTTATTAAAATCTATTAACTAAAAATTACTTTAACAATCACGAATATTATGGTTATTTTGAAATTTCTGGAAAGAAAATACTTCTTCTTCAATTGTTTTTTTGTGGAAAAACCCGTGATAAACCACTTACGCTGGCAAAAAATCCGCCTCCATGCGGAATATGGCTCATTCCGAGGTGCACTTCCGTGTGCCCGAGGCCATGGGCCTGTTGAACGAACACATTCTGGGCCATGCATTGGGAGAGCTAAATTTTTTAAATAAAATCATATATTTAATATCGAAAAACGTAACGCTGTATCGGACGATGAAATTTGATAAATCTAACAATCACCCGCTGCATCTGTTGTTGCCCGACCGGCAATTGAGCCCGGGATTGTCGTTGTTGCTGTTGGTGTTGTTGGTGAGCATGACGGACCGGAGCCTTACTCGGAGCACCAACCGGCAATACCATGATTTGGTGAAAGACGTGTTACCCTAGATAGAGATTTGGGATTACAAAAGCTTTGGAGCACGCAAAAACAGTAAAAAACAGCCAAAAAAATTGAAAAACATTTTGAAAAGCATGAATTCTAAGAAAATAATTTATCAGTGTGAATTCAAAATTCAGAGAACGCTTCTAAAAGCTGAAATGCCGCGAATCCATCTTGGGGAGACATGGCGGGGCTAGATAAAATGATAGGGAGCTGATCACGCATTAATGGATGATCTGAAGATCGTGAAAAAAATTGAATTTGATTGTCAAGTTTTGCTACTCAAATAGGTGTTTTTGAGAGCCTAAAGCTGATTTTTGGTGTCATTTCTACTAAGGCCTATTAAAATTTAAACGCTGATAAGTAGCACAACTTCGAATTTTCCAAAAATTCAGAAACGCCGAATCGATTCCAGAGCCACAGCAAACTAGTCTGACTCCCGAAAAAATTCCAATTTACTCACCCCTCTATGGGTAGGTGGGCATTTCCTTAAATATACGGGCCAGAAGGACGCGCAGAAGGCGAGGCGAGGTGCAAGCAGTCACTAATATTGCAGATGGGGGTCGAGTGAAGGCAAACAACGGCATCTAGGGCCCACCCAAGAAAGCGTAAATAGGTGCCAACGGGAAGCGGCGAAAGCAAAGGCAATTAATAGGGTAACCAGGGTTGAAAAGCCGCTTCGCGACTTTTCAACCCTGGCCCCGTCCAACCCAATGAAAGTTTACACTCTGCATAATTCGGCACGACCCACGCTGAAAAAAAAGTGAAAAATGCGCTCTCTGCTACTTTATATAGGCTCTCCGCCATTTCCGGTATATGCTAATCGATTCCTAACAAAGAGGGTGTCGGATTTTTCAACAAAAACTAAAATTTAATGTCGAAAATAGACGATTTTCATAAATCTGATTTGTGTGCAGTCATCTCCTGGACATTATGCACCTAATGACGTATCAAACATGACCTTAACTACTCTCTTTCTTGAGATACGACTGGAACATAATGACGGAAGTTGCATGCAAAGTGTCATACACACACACACAAACACTTTTTTTTTATATATAGTAGGATGAGACGGAAAAGAAGATGCTGCAAGAATTTTTAAGGCCGAGATCGCTTCCGGCCATCGATTAAGGGGATCTGGCAAGTTGGAAATCTGCATAAAATAAAATAAAATCACGCCGTTGGAATTTCTAGCTATTTTCAAAACGTCGGAAGCCTTTAAAGAGATTTAAAAAGACAAAGGGATCAAAATTCATGGCAAATGACAAATTCAGGGTCCGGAAATGAGCGCGGAAAATTCGAAATATGCCAAAAAATACCGAAAACTATAGAAAAATAAGAAAATCGCGCCTTCTCAGATTTTAAAGGAACTGGGAAGTCAAAAATAGCCAAGTTCTAACCTCCATTTTCCTTAAAAATCACCCATCTGTTATAAAATCCACTAGTAAATTGGCCTAACCTCTATATAAATGCTGCTACGACTGGATTCTTGGATACAAACAGCTTCATCTGTCCGATTGAACCGCTAACTAAGATGTAAATTCGCTCGAGTCATTTTTTGCCCATTTCCGGGCGGCATCAGCAAAATTCGCCTCCGAACGCCATGTTCCTGTTCCACCCATCCCTGAAAAGTAGATGAATTGAGCCCCCAGGGCTCAGGCTTGTTTTTGAGCTGGGGGTTTGAGCCGGAACGTTCTCTGGTTGAAGTGGTGTTTTCCAAAGAAAACTCAGGGTTTTAAACGGTGAAGCCCAATTTGCAAAACGTTAGAAAGATCCTGAACAATCGGAAATTTGGGTTTTCAACATAATAAAAGTTCGTTGGAGGTTTTCTACAAATTACGGTAGCTATTTCCATCTTAAAGGCGCTCGGACACCTTTTCCACCATTGAATAATCGACATGTGGCAATTTGGCGTCCGATTGCACTATGAAAAACGGTTGCTTCTGGTTTTGTAGTTTCAAGCAGGTAAAGCAGTCTCAAGTTAGTTTGTCCTTAAACGTGGCATTTAAACATCGGGCCGGATTTCATGGTGTCATCGGTTGGAAAATCGCCGGTTAGGTGCGGATTTGGGTTGTCAACGCCTTTAAAATGTCACAGCGCCTAGCGAGTAAATTTTCACAGCGGAAAAATAAGCACATAACTTACACTAAATTAACGTAAAGCCTTAACCAAGGCTTGAATTTCCAAAAATTGCCCGCCCTTGGCGGAAAAACAGGGCAGGAAGGCCAGTCTTGCCTGGCCAGCAGACCAGCTACCTGTCCCTGGGGGAAAAGCCCACCCTCATCGAGAAGGGGAGAGACCCCCCATGGGGACCTGCACACCATAAAAAAGCAGATTCTTCACACTTCTTCCCCCCTGGCTGCCTGGTCTTAAAAACCCGCGTTTCCGCGTCGTCTGGCCCGGGCACAAGGAGGTTAAGCTCCTTCACGAACACTGCAATCCATTAGGGGGATCGCTTCTGGATATGTGGGTCCCGAGGGGTTGCGGAGGTGAAAAAGGGCACATTTTAGCATAGCGGCAAAAGCAAGGTGTGGTAGAGCCGGTCCGGAGATCTTTGAAAATGGAGCACCACACGATTTTCGACATTTTTCGACTGTTGTAAAAGTTACACACAAAATACTTTTTAGATATCTCTCTCGCTCTCGCTTTCTCTCGCACTCCCTCTCGCTCTACCGCTCTCTCTCTCTCTCTCTCTCTCTCTCTCTCTCCCTCTCTCTCTCTCTCCCCTTCTCTCGTTGGCTCTCTCGCTCACAATGTACAAAAAAATTCTCAACGCTCGAAAATAACCAGAAAATCCAAATGAAAATAAAAATTACAGCCATACAACAATCGGCATCGGAGCAACAGACAGAGTTTTTCATTTTGCGTCAAAAGCATTTCCATTTTTTCAAAAATAACACGACTATCATCGCCGAGAAAGCCGAGCCCCGAAGGCGCGGGGTGATAAATCCCGGGCGCACATATTTATGGGTCACAGTTGGGTCCCCGCGGGCTCATCATGGCTATGCGCCCGGATATTTGTGGCTTTTTAGGGGGTGGTGGCGAGGGTGGACAACAAAAATATGGCTTTAGTAATGGCTGGAAATGCAAATTTCGAGGGAACGTAGATATCAATATCACATTTTTTGTTTCTGTTTTCAGATCGTAGGCGTGGTGAAGGCAAAAAGGCCGTAAGAAGTTAAAATACTCAACCGAACAGAGTGAGCGAAATACAGATAGAGGTAGAGAGAGAGCGAGCGAGAAAGAGAGAGAGAGAGAACGAGAGAGAGCGAGCGAGCGAGAGAAATGTTAGCCTGAAGATATCATAAATGGATAGCTTGGAATGAAACTTGCATCCGCTGACATCCTCAAGATTCTTTGCAAAAATCCCGAATTTCTCAAGATCCTCCCCTAGCCTATCCTGAAATTCCCCAAGATTCTTTGCTAGCCTGCATTATCCAAGCGTCGCAAATACAAATAAGCTCTCAAAAAAAAAACTTAAAGAGAAGCAGAAGTTTAGAAGTTTTCTTAGAAGATTGAATCGCTTCAGGAAACTCCGCAATTTTTTTGCTACCCGAAAATTCCTAAAGAATCCCTGCTAACCTGCCATTCCAAGGTTCTAAAAACACAAACAAGACTTCCTAAAGGCGACCTAGATACCCACACCCCGCGGCTACTTCCCCAACATAGCCGCGCTGTCAGTGAGTCAGATCTTGAAAAATGGGCGCGAATGCCGCGGGGCGCCCCGAGCCGCCCGGCAGCGTCCCCAGGAAAGTTGTGGATTTTCTCCAGCTTCTCGGTGGCGCCGAGAAAGAAGAAAGTCTCGACCTCGTCGGCCCTCGTGAATGAGGGCCGCCTTGTGCCCCCAGGGATTTCTCACCCCCCTAACCACCCCACAAAACCACTGCATCCCAGGGCTTTTCCCGCTTTTTTAAGCCACTTTTTTGGGCTTTCCCCTTGATTTTTGCAACCCCCCGGAAAAATCGGGGCCCTTGAGTGAATTGAGAGCGATTTGATTCCGGAAGCGGCTGATTTTTTGCGGGTGCTAGTCTGGCACAACAACATCATAGCGTTAAGGGGAATTTGGGTGTGAGCTGGATCTGGAAAACCCCAAGCACATGCTCAATCTCAAGCTCAATTTCTAAGCCTAAGCTTACGCTCAAGCTCAAGCTCAATTGCCAGCCTGAAACTACTCCTAGGCCAAAGCGCAAGCCCAAGCCCCTGCTCAAGCCAAGGGCCTAACCCACGATTCAGCCAAGCCGATGGCTCAAGCTCCGGAGATCAAGTTCAAGCTGCTCAGCCAACCCATATGTAGGAAAGCCGAGGTTCTAGGCCTAGCCCTGGCCCTAAGCTAAAGCGAAGCTCAAGTCGCAAGCCTAAGTTTAAGCTCAAGGCCAAGCTCAGGATGTCGACTGAAATTGCAAAGTCCAGAATGTAGAATTTTTACATTTTTTGTGATACTGACGGCAAGTCGTATCAAAATGGCAAAAAATCGCTTAATATCCGGCAAGCTAGCAAATAAATCTTCAGAAACCCTACACGAAAGGCAAGCTCGTAAAAGAACGCCAACTATAGCCAACTGAGGGAATGCCACCAAAATACACGCCAAATCTGCGCCATTTTGGGCGGGGTGTGATTGAGCGGAAGTAGTGGTGGTCGGAGGAGCAGCTTGAAAAGGAGCAGCAGTCGCTGGCGTGGACAAAAAAATTAGCCGAACTTTCACGCGACGACGTCCAACAACAAAGAAAACTGGAGAAACCCTGAAATAAATCCTTCTCCCGGTCGCTCTCTCTCTCCCTCTCTCTCTCTCTCTCGCTCTACTTTCTCTATATCTTCCTATTTAGGTCCAAAGATGTATCCGGCCTAAATAATAAAAATCCGGACCTATAGCCGATTGACAACAGCGCTAGAGAGAAAGAGAGCCAGCGAGAGAGCGAGACTGACTGGGCGAGAGAGAGCCACAGAGGGCGAGAGGGTGAGAGAGAGAAAGTGAGAGGGCGAGGGAGAGAGGGAGTGAGGGCAGTATGGTGGGCCAATTCAACACGCGAGCTGTAACGTTTATTACCAAAACGAATATCTCAAAACGAATCGTCAGAATCCGAAGACGACATTTCCATAATCATTTCATCTTCATAAAAGTGGCCGTTCTGCGTCTGGTAAGCGTGCAGGATCGGATCTTCGTTGGACACCCCAATCTCGGTCGCCTGCAAACGAAAAGAATTTTTAGTCTCTCTTTCTCTCCCTCTCTCTCCCTCTCTCTGTCATTCTCTCTCTTTCTCTCTCTATCTCTCTTCTCCTTAGTTATTATAAGCAAAGCGCTTACCGGAAACGGCCACACGTTGTACTGCCAGTTGGCGGCCTAGAACCGTTTGGTTTGGTCGACAAATTGAGCAAATACCGCCTGGTCCACAATCATCTCCCGGTCGTGCATCGTGTTGTAGGGCTCCATCTTGGTCCATTTCTTGACGAGGGTCTCGCACTGGTACTTCAGTTCTCGCGGCTAAACCGATTTTTCATTTTCCATTTTTTCACGCATTTTGCTGCCTGATTGGCCTTTTCGAACACATTCAGTAATTCAGAATGCCGAAATTTGGGTTAAGTGGTAAAGTAATAAAGTAAAGATGAGAGAAAAAGTAAAAAGAAGGAGTAAGAAAAGGTTTTTTCGTCTATTTCTTGTTAATGCTAAATAATGTTTTTATAATGTTTTGGGAAGTTTTTAATCGCTAGAAGGCTACAAAAAAAAATTTCACAAATTTTGAGCCTTTTTGGTTGTTTTTCATCCATCTTGGAACGAAAATTCAAACATCTTTTTCATCGCTTTTTAGGAGCTCATTCTATCTAAAAACTAAATCAAATGCTATAAAAATGGTTGATATTTGGTGATAGGAGCGTAGCGAGGTACTGGGAAAAAAATCTGGAAAAACGCATGCCACTAACGTTGTTGCCAGCGGCCGCCCGATTACTGGCCCGAGTTCTAGGCATTTGACGAGAGAAATCGTAGGCGTCGCGGAGGAATTTGTTGAGCTCGTCACAGGTGCGCTGCCTGGAAAGTGATTAGCTGACTCGCAACTCTTAAAGGGATCAAGAAGGCCCAGGAAAATTAGGATAAGGCGGACTCTGGATCTAAAATTAGCATAACTCATCTCGGCTCTCCCCTGCCTCGCCCCACTCTCTGCTCACTTTTTTGCATTAAGATTTCATTAGGATTACGATTTTTAGGTATTCCTAAGCATAAAAGCTTTGCAAATTTTCGGTCGAAAATGGCCAAATGCTGCAATTTTTCGACTTTTTCAAACTCTTTTCTAACTTTTTTTTAAAGAGTTTTTCCACTTTAAATATCGTTTAAATTCCCTAAAAACGATGTAAAAGCACGTATATTTGATTACTAGGCCGACCGGGCCGGCAAGTAAAAACATTGGTCCCCCCCTCCGCGAATCCTAAAGAACCGTCACCTGCGGAAGTTGTAATCACAGGCCAAGAGCACGATGCTGGCCCCGTAGACGCCGATGAGGAGCCCCTCGTGGCTCTGCAGCATAACAAAATTCGGAATCGCGCAAAAATCGACGTACCTCGGGGCCACGCCGAATCAAAGCCAGCCTGTCGAGGTCGTAGAGCCGGATCGGGTCCGTGCGCTTCTCGCACAATTCTTTTGGCAGCAGCAGGATATCTAAAAAGAAAAACAGAAAAATACAGTCACAGTCAGAAAAGTCAGGGAAAGTTAAGTAAGTTAATTATCGTATTGGACACATCAGGCAGTTCAGATTTTTCGGGAATCCGATTTTCGAGAATATTCCGTATAACGGCGGGAGGTATGATTTAAAGTATGGTAAGCCTAAGCTAAGCTTAAGATAAGTCTAAGCTTCAGCCTAAGCTTAAACCCCAAGCCTAAGCCTAAGCTTTCTCTCTCTCTTTCTCTCTCTCTCTCTCTCTCTCTCTCTCTCTCTCTCTCTCTCTCTCTCTCGCTCTCTCTTTGTGTAAGCAACACCAACCTGGGTGCAACTCCCTGAAGTTGTTCCACATGCGATAGTGGCGTCCTGGCTGTGGCGACTCCTGGGCGTTGAAGGTGATGTAATCGATCTCACGCTCGCGTCTCTCCCATTGCTGCAAAAGAAATTACTAGACTGTTAGCGGGGGGAGGGGGGGAGGTTGGGCGGGGGATGGGAAACATAAATCATCTTTCAAGTAGCTTCGGAATTTTGCATCTAAAAACACCTTAAAAACCATAAATCATAGTTTTCAAAAATAGCTTATTTTTGTATAATTTGGGAATGTAGAATTCGTTGGTCTGCATCCCTACGTCGATGAGCGTGTTCAAGGCCGGGACGACGATGCGGTGGAAATCCTTGAGTAGCTTGGTATCCAGGACGTACTTGTAGCTGCTATATTTGGTGCCCACTGAAAACGGATGGCTCAAAAAGGATTTTCAAATAAAGAGAGGAGAGAGAGAGAGAGAGAGAGAGAGAGAGAGAGAGAGAGAGAGACAGCAACCGTCACAATTACTACCTTGCTTCTTCAGACAGAAGTAGGCCACGATCGTCGGCGCCTTCACTTCGACGAGGCTGCCCATCTCGGCAATCTCGCGCCCAAAGTGGACCCACAGCTTTGACAAGCCCTCAAAAACATTTTTTTTGCATCAGATAGAGGCCCTACCGGAATCAGGGTCATGATGTCGTTGATCGTCGACCGCATCTCGCCAACGTGACAGACCGGGCTGGAGTGAACGGTCACACATCTCGGCTGCATTTCGGCTACAAAAAAATGAGCTCAAACCCCCAAAATCTGCATACCGATCTGGGGCCATAGCTCACGTTTCGGTCCTTCGATCGGCAACATGGCGATATGGGCGCGAACGGCGGGGGCGGTGATGTACTTGTCGGGGCCGGGCAGTCGCCAGAGCCCGAGCTGGAACAAGTGGCATTTTATTGTTAGCCGCGGGCTAGGTGGATCGGTTCTGGACCGTTATCAGGGGGGGGGGGTGGGCGGAACCGAAAATTTTCCCTGATTCTCTGCGGCTCTATAATAAACCATAAACCATTTTTATAGAATTTTACATGGCTCTTAGTTATAAAAATAATAGTAATAATAATATTTTCTATTAATATATATTATCTTTTCTTTTCTATTTCTATTATTTTTATAACTAGAAATTATAGAAAATTAATAGAAATTTTCGAAAATTTTTGAATTTTGGGGGAAAATGTATGAAAATGACCAAAAAAGGTCGAAATTTTCGAATTCTCAAAATTTAAAAAAATGTTTTTGATGCCATTTAAGCCACGTGGTGGGTTTTCGGCGAGCCGCGACGTGAACACAACGCACCTGGTCGAAGGTGGCGTTGTTGATGAGGATGTACAAGTCATCTATCGAGGCCATTTCCCGGTTACCGTCAGGCGGAACATGACGGCAGAGCCCATCCTCAAATGGCGGGTCGCCAAAGACCTCGCGCGGGTAACTAAACGTAACAAGTTAAATAAGGGCCGGGGTCCTGTTCTTTTTTCGGGGGGAGGGATTTGCGATGGGCTGGTTGTTTTTGGAGATTCATTTGATGATACAGTCTTAGGAGCTGAACAATTAACGGTTCTGGACTGTTAGCAGGGGGAACACGTTCTGTTTTTCCACCTATACCTGCCTGTTAATTATTAGTTTTTTCATGATCTTTTTATATGTAAAAACGATGAGACAGTAAGAAAGACTATAAAAACAGTCTATATTTGTTATAGGGCCGTCGAGAATCACAGAGAAAGATTGGTCCCACACCCCCCTCCCCGATAAGAGTCCAGAACCCTATACTATAAGACATTATCGGGTGGGGTTGCGAAAACCGACGTTTTCCTCAAGCAAAGTCTGTCAGGGAGTCAGTCACACAAGCAAATCAGTACAGCCTTCCCCCCCCCCCGCAAAAAGAACAGTCCCGGGACGGGCTGCAACCGATTGACACCCACGTGTATTCATTGCCGTAGGCGAGCAGATATTTGCGCTCTGCCTCCCAGCGTTTCTGGCTGCGCGACAGGGCATAAGTCCTGCAAAACACCATTTCCGTGCAGGATTCCGGGCGATACTTGGCATCAAGTTCGCCGTAGCCCGACGACGTATGCTCGACGAACGAGGCCCAGCGTTTCGGCGACGCCGTGATGAGTCCCTGAAATTTGATATGCAACCAAGGTCTTAAAAATTGTGATCAAAGAAGGTTTTTGGTGCTTTCGCATTATCGGGGGGCGGCGGGTAGGGGTGGGGTGGTCTGGAAATGTTTTCTTTTTTGGATGTCTAGAAATGGCTAGTAACTTAATAAAAAGTGTTTTAATCGTGTTTTTTTGCAATATATAAATATATCTAAAGTAGAAAAACTATCTAAAGACGTGAAAAAAATGTTGAAAAGTCGACAGTTTAGTCAAGGACCGGTCTTTGTAGTCGAAAAAACGATATTTTTTTAGTATTTTTTGACGAAAATTTGTAAAGTCTTCCAGTTTAGGAATAGTACAAAATCGTTTAGAAACAGATCCGCTATTTATATTTCAAAAAAAATATCAAAAAAATCGGTTTCCCCTGATAAAATCCCCCCCCCCCGGTAATGCGAAAGCACGCAAAAAATTTTTTAATATTTTTAACTTTCTAGCAGTCAAAAATTGCGAAAAACATCATAAAACACACTATTTACTATTAACAGACTGGTATATTTCAGGTTTCTGAAATTTTGCATTTAAGAGTGACCTTGAAGAAGTCGTCGGCATACGCCAAGTTGAGCATGTCGATCGGGCTGAAGTGCTCCATCAAAAGCAGCCAGACGTCCTGCGGCATTTCCGCAAACTGCTCGAACGTGATGAGGATGTCGGCCGCTTTCTCGCTCTGAAAATTATTGCATATTTAAAGATCTGAACTGTTAGCGGGGGGATATTTTGTTTTTATAACGTTTTTTGTTGTTTTTAATCGGCAGACTATACACAAAAAATGTTCATTTTCAAAATTCGAAAATTTAGATCGTTGTGCCGATTTTTCATAAATTTCTGACCAAAAATGCAACTCGCCAAAACGTCGACTTGACTCTTACCACACTCAAGAACCTGAAAAAACGCTTTGCTCACCTCAGCCTTCGGCTTGACGATGGTCAGTGGCTTCGCGCCGGAGACGGTAGATGAAGGGACAATCGCGACGGGAGGCAAGAGGACGGCCTGTAACGGTGATTATATAGGGTTAGAGCCTGGTTAGCCGAGGTTTTACTTTGGTTAGAGGTGTGGGGCTTTGGGATAAACTAGTCTCTCACCATACCTACCTTAAAGAACCGATCGGCATCGGCCAAGCACAGCAGGTCGGCCGGGGTGAGCGCGTTCCTGACCAGCACCCACAAATCGAGGGGCAGCTTCTGGAACTGCTTGAACGTGACGAGGGGCAACTCGGCGGGCTTCTGCAATAGGCATTGAGGTTAGGCTCGAATGGGACGTATGTATAGTTGCTGCCGTGTCAGAAACAAAAAAATCTAAAACTTGCAAAACTTTTTAAATTTTTCACCTTCTTGCCCTCGTACGAGAGATGCAAAGTCGGCATCTGGGCGAGGTAGAGGCTCCACCTCTCCGGGGGCGAAGACTAGAAAAAGGACGCCAGATTATCCAGGATCCAGAGGGCAAACTTAGGGATTCAAAACCGGAAGTCGATGCAAATCGCTGATAACTGGTTTGCGAGCCGAAAAATCCCTGCAAAAGTCGAGTTTCCGAGCTGTTGGGGTGGGGGGGGGGGGGGTTCGCAGGGGCGGAAACCACTTTTTCCGCTTATTGGTAACCTATAAGGTATTACTTATAGCATTTCTAGTAATTTTTGCTTGCTAGAAAACTCTAAGAAAGATTTGAAAATATTTGAAAAAGCGAACATCTTCCTTTTTGAATTTCCCAAATATTCCTGGCCAAAAATTAAAAAATTGAGGCTAAAAATAATATAAAAAAGCAGCTTTTATAAATTTAGGAAGACCTAAAACTAGGTAAAGTGTCACATAAAATGGTTGATATTTCGTGATAGCCCCCGAACGGTCCAGATCCACTTCTTTTTGCCCTTTTTGCAGTTGTCCTGATTTGGTCTCCACCTACGAATTGATGTCTTTCTTTTCCAAAAAGACGCCATGTTCGTTTTTGCAGCTTTTTAGAGCCGGTTTTTGCTGTGTTTCTGACTGTCGTCTTTCGCCAGGCTGAAAAAACCTCATTCGACGGCATCGATGGGCAGTGAAGTCAATAATTTATTTCTAGAACCCGAATTTGTGGAAACCGTATGGTACAATCTTTGGTATTGGTAGAAGATACACGTTGAAAGGAAATTAGCCAGTCTTCGATTTTGAGGACTTAGCAGTAGTGGTTTTTATATTGCTTTTACAGTAACAATAGGGTCTCATTTCCGGCCGGGGTCCTGCCACGCAATCGGCCGTTGATTTGTATTCATTAAGCCGGACCGGGTGGCCGGATGCGATGAACTGGTCGTTGTCGTCGATGCGGATGCGCTGAAAAATCTATGATAAAGGAGAGAGTTAGAGAAAGAGAGAAAGAGAAAGGGAGAGCAAACGTGCGAGAAAGCGAGAGTGCGAGAGAGCGAGAGAGTGGGAGAGAGCGAGAGATAGAGAGAGACAGCGAGCGACCTACCGCTTTATACTTTGCACTACTCGGCGCAGTGGTAAATGTAATTTCATACAGCTGTGTAGCCCGTTCTGGATTGTAAGTGGAGACGGACTCGATCTAGAAATCGCTTTTAAACATAAAAAATCCTACTATATAAAAAAAATAGTGTTTGTGTGTGTGTGTGTGTGTGTGTGTGTGTGCATTTGCATGCAACTTCCGTCCGTATGTTCCAGTCGTATCTCAATTGGAGAGGAAGTTAAGGGTACGTATGATACGTCATTAGGTGCGTAATGGTCATGACACGACTGCACGCATATGAGATTTTTAAAAATCAGCTGTTTTCGATATTAAAATTAAGTTTTTGTGAAAATCTTGCTCGGTCTCTTTGTTAGGAATCAATTAGCATGCACCGGAAGTGGTGGAAGCCTATATAATAGGGGAGAGGACACGCTTTTCATTTTGCGGCACAGGAATTCAGGGGTTTATGCAAAGTGATGAAGTATGGGGGTAAGTCGGGGCCATGGTTGAAAAGTCGCGAAGCGGCTTTTCAACCCTAGTACTAAATTAAAAACGCTAAAGACGCCCGGTAACTACCTTTCCCAAGCTCAGCGGGGCGCAAAGATCGGTGAGCATCTCCTGCTCCACATATTCGTTGATCAATTCGACCGCAAATTTGCCCATTGGGACGAAATTTCTGGAAAATACGGTATTTTTTAGTTCATTTAGTGAGTTACTTCTCAGTTTTATTAAATTCACATAGACAGTAATCCCCAGTGACCGGCACATTTTGGCAATTCCTAAAAAGCACTATTTTTTAGAGATAAAGTTTTTTTAGCTCCACCTGTCCTCAAATGGCCCTCGCGGGCGCAGAATCGAGGTCCCATTATTTGGGTTTGGATTTAGAATTTGTTCATATTTAAAAGATGTGTAGTTTGTAGCGTGAGCATTCTGCAGGTCCAATGATTTTAATAGTCAAAGCTGCCGCTGTACCTTTAAGATGTCCTGCAGCGTCGCGTAGACGTCAAAGTGGGTTAGCAGACTCGTCGAGTGGGCTTTGAGATTGGTCATCAGCTAAAACTCAGGTAATCTCCAAACAAAAACATAAATTGGGCTCGAAATTAAGTGGATGAATTTCATATCGTAAATTGATACCCGTTCAACGCTTGGATAATTAGGTTACGTAATCAGATAAAAGCGAAAATCTGCCGCTAAAGCTAGAACTAAATAGATCAATGGAGTGTCGTAATCGGATAAATTATAGGTAAAGCTAAACCTAAATGAATTACATCTCGTAATCCGATGAACGAAACTGAGAAACTTCCAGAATTCCTGACCTCCTTGTTTTCCCTCAAAAATTTCGGAACCATCAGCATCAACATCGGGTTATTCACTTCTCGCTGCCCCATTTCTGTGCCGGTGGTCTTAAAATTACCTTGATATATTTATAAATAAATCGGTAGATGATTGAAAATTTTTAAGTTTATGCATAGAAAATTGAATTAAATTAATTTAAGACTTACCGGCCCAATCCTCGGCCCATGATCACCCATGAAGAACACGAACGAGTTGTCGAATGTCTTTTCATGTTCTTGAAAATATTTCTGCAATGCCGATGAATGATATTCTTTTAGATGAGATGTATCAGAAGCTTACCAAAAAATAGTCGTCCGTGTGATAGAGCATGTTTGCGTTTCCGTGAAGTAGTGATACCAGCCAGGAGAGGCCGAATTTCGGGTTATCTAACATTTTTTTTGTTTACTTGTGTCTAGACACTTTCTAATCGATGGATGAGGATAAAAAATGTAGAAAGCAATAAATTAAAATAGAAAAAGCCAACTGTAGCAATGAATTTTTCAAAACTCTTGTAAAGCTACAAATTTTGCGGTCGAATTACAGATAGTTTTGGCCTTGACTGGCCCTTGTGAGTACGATTGACTACTCACTTTTGTACCCAGCGGCAAACTGCCCATGGTATTTCAGTAATGCGTGCCACTCTTCCATGCAATTTGCCAGCCTCTCCTTCTCGAACTCCTTGTCGACGCCAAGGATCCGGTTCAGGGCTCTAAATCGGGAATTTTCGTATGTTATTCTTATTGGAAAGGCGGCTGGAACTTCTATAAATACTACCATTAAAAGGAGTTTAACTTACTCATAGCGATGGTCCGTCGGCTGCTTCAAGTATCCCTTGCAATAGGGGTAGTAGAAGACGTCTCCCCAGTCCAGTAAATGGGCTGTTTTATAGCCTTAAAAACGATAATTTGGGTTTTGAAAAAGTCATATTAAACGGATAGGCCAAATACACCATATTTAAACAACTGTCTAGCATTAAGATCGATTAAAACTCGGAAATTCGTAAAAAAATTCGACTTTTTGAGGTAAATTTTAGAGTCCGTCTTCACTTTCAAAAGATGGGTGGTTCGTCGAAAAAAAGGGTTTTTACAGTACCTTCCGCCGCATACTCGTGCATGATCATCGTCTCGTTATCCAGGTAGGTTTTACAAGCCCTTTGTATGCTCCATTCGGCCGCTAGGTCCGATGCGCCGAGAAACCCGCGAAATGACTCGTAGATGCGTTTTCCTAAAACGCAACGATTTTATCGTTATTCTATTCGAAAACCGGAACAAGCACTAAGGAAACGAAACCCACCGAAAAGAAAGGCAAACCCGTTTGGGTGGCTATTATCAGCCACTCTATTCAAATGGTGCATAAAAACTCCGCCCATTTTTTGCTCGAGAAAAGTGAGGGTCTGCGGGATGGCTCTAAAGGATTCAATTCAAGGAATTACCAAGGGAAATCCATAACTTTTCGGGGTTTAAAATTACGATGTAAGACAGAGCTGCATTCAGGCCATGCTCACCTCCTCGCCAGGGTCGATGAGCACGAGTCGATCAAGATGATGTGAATATCAGGGCGGAAATTTTTGTTCTTTTTGGCTTGGGCATTGAATCGCGGATTCGTAGGTTCCGTTGGTAGGTAGGAAGGAGGAGCATCAGGGTCTGGAGTTGTGGTTTTGAACTTCGATGAAGCGTAGAGTTGGTAGCTGAAATATGAGAGTTATCTCTCTTTCTTGCTGTCTCTCTCCTCTCTCTCTCTCACTCTCATCCTCTCTCTCTTTCTGTCTCTCTCTCGCACACCCTTTGTTGCTTTCTCTCTCCCTCTCTCTCTTTCTCTCTCTCTCTCTCTCGCTCTCTCTCTCGCTTTCTCTGTCTCTCTATCGCTGTCTCTCCTGCGCTCGTTTCCTGGCTCTAGCTCATGCTCATTGTTACGCTTTCGATGTTTCTTTTTCCTTGCTCAGTCTCGGTCGCTCTCTCTCACTCTCCCTCACTCTCTCGTTCTCTCTTTATTTATCTCTCGCTCTCCTCTTACTTCATCGGTTCCTCCAACAATTGAGTATGAACATATCGATCCACCCTCGTCTTCCCTTGATAACATTCTGCATAGATGATATCGCAAGCGGCAATCTGCTCCTCATCTGGCAACAATGTCATAATTCTCCCACCATCATGCCCTTCTTGCCAATGGTAGAAGGGACAGCTGAAATCTTAATAATTTTTCGGTATAACTGTTTTTTCTACCGTATATCACAGTAATCGATCGGTTTCTTCCAGGGCTTGGTAATCGATATTTTTCCATCGCGGAGGGTGGTGGCTGGGATCTAAAAATTCGGGTACGGTACGTCAAAATAACTGTCATTTAGTCTAAAGGGCTCAAAAAGGGCGTTTTTTTTGGAAAAGCAAAGATTTTTGCCGCCGCCGGGTCGAACCCGGGCCTCCCGATCGGGAGACGCGGTCGCATACCAGTCAGCCACAGGTGCAACCTGGCGAGAGGGCGAGGGGCGCCCCACCCCGCAAAGGAGCGGAATGGCCTGTCACAGCACGGGCAGGCAGTGCGCGCGGTCCCTACGTCCATAGGGTGTACACGTTGGGACGAGTACACGGCCCCTCCCTGAACGTGCGCTTTAATATGTAAAAGTTAGCTTAAAAAATACTTCTTTCAATGGTTTTTGTGTGTCGCGAGAAGAAGGTTAAATGCTATTTTATTTTTAACGCCCACAAGTTGTTTTTATGCTCTAAAAACTTACATAATGCGTATTACACTTCGCAAGCGGATCCTTGCTTTGATACGTTTTATTAGCGCCTCCACTCCAGGGATCGTGAATTGTTAAGAAACATTTAGAAAATATTGAATAATCCATGGTGTCTCGTACAACTTCTTTTAAATTTTGATCTAAAATTAGTAACATTTTTAATGTATCACATTTTAACAAAAAATATGTAGATAGAAGTTACTTTTTACGTCCATAGCTGGGGGTAAATTTTGGTCCTCGGCAAACTGGTAAATTAGCGTCAATACGAAAGCGAAGCCGAGCAGGAATGGAGTGAAATTTAGGCTCATTTCCTAAAAGCGATGCATTAATAGAAATAAAATTCATCTAAATGAAATTTCCACAATTACAAGGTCGAAAAATACAGAAAATACTTAAGATACTATGAGCGGTTTTATGTCATGTTTAAAGAGAATGTCCTGGTCAAAAATGAAAGTAATCCGTGCACTTTTTTGATTATTGGACTGAATAGCCTTGACACGCTTCATCAACCACCGGGGGTTAAATAGTGTAGTGCAGCTTCGGCTAGTTAAATACCGACAAAAAATGAGGGTGGGGGCGTTGGAATTTTCTAAAAAATCCTGTTTCGATGGCTTTTGGCTTTTGAATCTTGTTTTAAAGGTATTTGGAAGCCAATTCTTGGACTGGGAAAATAGCAGGCGGCAGAATTCGGCGTTGAAGCTCCAGAGAGCACCTCTAGCACCTGCAAAAACTGGATGCGAAGATGGACAGTGCCGATTTTCTTTGCGGGCTGATATTTTGAACAAAAAAGTAAGACCTGAACGGACCGAATGAGACGGAGATTGAGAGGGACCGCGAAAATAGTGAGAGAGAGAGAGAGAGGGGGGGAGAGAGAGAGAGAGGGAGAGAGAGAGACGAGCAAGGGAGGATATAGCTCAAAGATTACACCACTTCGAATTGAAGCGGGCTGGTTCTATAGAGAATTGACGATCTTTCGGCCAAAATCGAGTGGTTTTCAAATTTCAAAGAAACCCATTAACGCGCTTACAATACCTCGAAAAATAGCTTTTCTCCGGCCGATACAATGGCGCTGTTTGAGGACCATCATCGCTGTCACGCCGCCAAGCCCGTGGTGGTTTTGGCTCGGATTTTTACTCTTTGATCGACTCGTTGAAGATTTTTAAGTCCAAAATTGGTGATTTTTGGAATCAAGAGAGAACGGGAAACACTAGTAATTCGTTTATTTCTCTAAATTTTTTTCTCTAATCTGTGGCTAATAATAATAATAATCTAAGGTCAATTTTTACCGACGCGAAAGTCCGATTCTTACGGCAAGTCGAAGATCAAAACATCAAAAGTCAGCCTCTCATACAGGATACCTATATATTAAATTTTGACTCGGGCCCCGGCCGCGAATAACCTTTAAGCTCTCACACCTCGCCGCCCAGAGAAGAGGCGGGAGGGGTGGTGAACGCGTGGTGGGGGGCTGGCTAAACATTATTGCTTACACACACTGGAATGGGAACTGCGGTGCTGCTTTGTGGAAATATCGCTCAGACCAACATTTTTTTGGCTTGGTCTCTTCGAGCGCATTGTAGGGAAGGGAAGTCGGGTTCGAAATTCGCCGTCAAATTTGGGAAGGGTGAAAGAGTGTTATTTTAAAGAGATGATGCCAGTGAAAACTTCATAGTACAGCATCAACCCGACGACGTCAAAGAATTTATGATTATTGAATCTCTCTCTCCCTCTGTTGCTCTCACTTTTTCTCACTCCCCTCTCTCTCTCCTCTCTCTCTTTTGCACTGCCTCTTTAACGTTCTCGCTACTCCTTATTAAAAGAAAATTATTGTAATGCCTGCCTTGTAAGTGGCTTTAAAGGTAATGAGAAGCCCTGTAATCGACTCTATAACACGATAAATTATGGTTCCGGAGCTCTAAGAACGACCATTCCAAGCGGAATAACGGGCGTATTTTTGCATTCCACGTAGCTCTCGATACCCAGGTGAATGTTCACATTTCCTAGCTCCTTTCGGATGCGGTTAAATCAGGAGAAACATCAGAATGAAATAATGGTCTTCACAAAGAGCTGAAATATCGTACCATCGGTCCTAGCAGGGGGCGCAATCGAAACCAGACGCTCACTGAACATCCAAAATTGTAATCTACAAACACGCGTTATCTGGTGCTTATCGCGGTTTAGCACAGACAGATCGTAGAATCATTTTGCGGTCAAATTCTCACCCTCTTTGTCACCTCTCCGCCACACCCAGGGTGATATTGGGGAGTCTTTATTACGAAGGATAGAAAAGCGAGACGAGTATATGTATTCTTTCAGTAAAAGACACTTACAGTATTCTGGAAATGTTGAAACTGGGCGCGTTCAGGGACGTTTTTTGGATAAAAGCAAAGATTTTTACCGCAGCCGGGGGTCGAACCCGGGCCGCCCGCCCGGGAGGCGCGGATGGATACCAGTCAGCCACAGCTACAACCTGGCAAGGGGGCGAGGGGCGCCCCACGCCGCAAAGGAGAGGAATGGCCTCCCACAGCACGGGTAGGCAGTGCGCGCGGTCCCTACGTCCATAGGGTGTACACGTTGGGACGAGTACACGGCCCCTCCCTGAACGTGCGCTTTAAGAAGCTAAGACTTGATCTTAAACGTTGTCGAGCTATTTAGCGAGGACAATGACACGCCGATGTACTGTAACTTTTACGTAAAACTACTAAAGACGTTCACTTTGAGCTGGGGAAACTTCTTTCAAGGACAAGTGACGCATTTAAAAATTTTTAGCGTCCATTTTCACTTCCGCAAAACCGTTTTTGTAGTGAACCCAAAAATTGTCATCTTTTTTTAGCCACACCCTAGTTTAAAAAAATAGTACTTTGTCATTCTCACATTCTGGTCACCCTTTGTAAGCAGATTAAGTTTGCAAGCACGCAAGAGGCTTAAGTTTAAAATGAATGATAAGCGCCTGAAATTGCCCTCAAAAGTACCCCAGGAAATTAATCTTTATTTATCACAGTTAAGTAGATAATTGTCGTTGAAAATGCGGATTAAGTTGACGATAAAAAATTGGAATGTAGTGTCGAGTCGACAAAAGGTACCTGGGACCGAAATGTATGTCATTAAAGCGGCCAAACTAGCTATAAAATGTTAGCAGGCTCCCATGATTTTGGGCTGAGATATTAAAACTAACTGACAAGGGAAGTGCACGACCGGCCTAAGAGAAATCGACACGAGACATAATGGATCTGATAGAATCGGACACGGGGATTCCGAATCTGTAATCAGAATTTGCTAAATAAAACGGAGAAAAAAGTTATGAAGCTGCAAAGTTGGCAAAATCGCCCAAAATCGGACCTTTATGGGCCTGTAAAGGCCCAGGGAATGAAAATTTGCCACAACCCATTAGTGCATCTTGTTCAGCAGAAAAAGCGCTTTCGAATGAGCTATCTTACTTCAAGTTTACGATGATTTCGCGAAAATCTCTTCTATGAACTTGACAGGCCATACCCTTGCCCGTGAATCCAAAAAAACTTTTTTCAGTGAATTGTTTGCAAATACTACATATTACAGCTCATTCGAAAGAGCTTTTTCTGCTAACAAGATGCACTAATTCTTTTCTCCTCAATTCCGTTCCCCCGGTTTTTACGGGCCCTTAAAGGTACCGTTTTTGGCGATTTGGCCAACTTTGATGCTTCATAACTTTTTTCTCCGTTTGATTTAGCAAATTCTGATTACAGATTCGGAATCCCCGTGTCCGATTCTATCAGATCCACTATGTCTCGTGTCGATTTATCGTGGGCCGGTCGTGCACTTCCCTTGTGAGTCAAAATTACGCATAAAAAGCTATTAAAACTAACTAACAAAAAACTACGAATAAATACACAAAATGATGATTTCTTGGAAATCCGACTGATTGCTAAATTTGACAGGCAAAAACGAAAATATATGAAAAGAAATTTGCATATCAAGTACAACTTTAACTCTTGAAATTTACATACGAGATTAGCAACGCGGTAAGCTGCGGGATTGAGTGAAAATGGCGTATCCTCACCCACCAAGCACCAATGATACGGCGCGCCACGTACTACGTTGCTTTATTTTTGCTCGTCTACATGGCCGGCGGCAAGAAGGCGAAACATGTAAGTTTTCTGGTTTTACCTGGCTAAAGATTGCTTCAAATTCTTTAAAAATTTTCCGGAGTCGAAATTTTTACAATGATTTTAAACTATCTGTGTTAGTTAGAACAAGACGAACATTTTGGTACACTTTACAGCTCTGTAGCACACAGGGGAGACGAGATAGAAACTTTCGGTGTCGGCGGGTGGGACTAGATTCTTTCCGAAGGGGGGGAGGGAGGCTTGAGAGGCGAACTTGTCTCTTACCGGGGGGGGGATTAATTTAAGGTCGACTCCCCCCCAACGTCAAAACATGTGTTTCCAGCGCGACCCCGAGGCCATCCCCTGCCTTCTCGACATGTGCAAGGTCAAACCCCAGTAATCTTCACTTCAACTGACGTTACTGAACAAATCTTAGTTACGACTTGCTGGCGGACGACATGTCGTGCTCGAAAAGAGATGCCCCCAATTACAGCTTTTTGTGGGTTTTCGCGTCCGGAAGCGTTACAAGCCGCCTTGTTCAGCAAGTTCGGCTCGGTGCGCCGCCTGACATACATGAGGGATCTGACGGTGGAGCCGGAGAGGGAGGACCAGATAAGATGCACAGATGGAACCAGCAACTACCCAAATCTTACTGTAGGTAGAGAGAGCGAGGGTGAGAGTGTGTCAGAGAGGGAAGAGAGCCTGAGAGAGCACGAGAGAGTCAGAAAGAGAAAGAGAGCGGAAGAGAGAGAGAGAGAGAGTGAGAGAGAGTGAGAGAGAGAGCGTGATTTCCAAGGACCACAAATGGAACAACATGACCTGCATTACTTACTCGGAACGGTACGGCTGCCTTGAATGCCCGGCCTCATGGACTTTTGACGAGAATGCGAGGTGGAGCTCTTACCGTACTTTAAAAGCTACAGAAATGAAAGTTTGATTCAATTAGACCTCAATAAATTAATTAAACTTCAATTTTTATGAAACACCATGAAAAATTTCGTTTTTCCACCAAAATGGCCGATTTTTACCAAAATTTATATCCCCTTTTATCCACTACTGTAACCCACAACTTTAGGAATCCGCTCGGCAACCGTACCGTCAACGCGACCGACCTCGACGTGGCGTCGTGTGTGCCCCACCCAACGATGGAAAACGAGCTGGCCATCGTACGGAATTACAAGGAGGCCGTATCGTTCGCGCTGCCCTCCGATCGCTACTGCCCGGCGTAGGAGATCCCGCCAGGCCATAAAAATCCAACGGCTTTCCAGCTTCAAGTACAGAAACCCGAAGAGCGATGTATGCGACGGGAAATGCCTGACGAACTGCGAGAGGTGCCGAAATCCGGGGGTAGGTTTCGGGTATACCCCCCGCTACCGGACCAGTACCACTTTTTTTGGATAGATTTGCGACCGTTGTGAGCCCGGATATGTGCCGACGGTGAACGGATGGGGATGCTTCAACCCGGCGACGGAGACATGCAAAGAGTTGGTGATGTTTGCTTCCGAGAGAGAGAGAGAGAGAGAAGGAGGGAGAACGAGAATTTTACGCCAAAATTCCAGGGGCTTTTTCTATCGTGGGGGCCGCTGCTACCCCTGCTATATGGTGACCGACAGTTGCGCGACGTGCAATGCGAATGTAAGCTTTTGTGAATTTTGTAAGAATGTAAGCCTGAGGCTTAGGTTTAGGCTTAGGCCTGAGCAGAGTCTTACGCATGAGCTTGAGCCTAGGCTTAGCTATAGGCTTAGGCTTAGGCATAAGCTTAGGTTTAGGCTTAGAGGCAATGACCTATTTCGTGAATTTCAGTCGGGCCTATGCACAGAATGTGACGAAGGCTTTGTACTTATCCGAAAGGAATATGGCCAAATATGTCTACCGATCTGCATGAGGTTGTTTACGTTTTTTTAGGGTTTCTAATAATGCCATTTTAGAGGTACTTACCACGATCCCGACACCCACGATTGCGTCGATTGCCCGAGCTGGTGTGCCGACTGTTACGGGTATGCATACAAAAAGTGGTGTTGGTAGGACCAAATCATTTCCAGCCCCGGCGAATGCCAAGAGTGCGCGCCCGGACTGTACACCTACGAGAAAGGCGAAGACGAAATGATTTGTCTCAGCGCCTGCCCGTGGGACCCGAGCTACGTGCTTACCTCACTTTTGTAGCTACGGAACCTATCCGCAGTCAACGGTCCCGATGCGCTGCCTTCCCTGCGATCCAGCCTGCGAGACGTGTTGTGAGAATTGAGGCGTTTTCTCTCTATTTCTCTTTGTTTCTCTCTCACTATCTCTTTCTCTTTCTATCTCTCTTGCTCTCTCTCACTCTTCTCTGTCTATCTCTCAGTCTCACTCTCTCAAAAGTTTTTTTAGATGGCCCCACTCGTCGTCACTGCTACGCTTGCACCTTCTTCGGCATCGTCACCCCCGATTTCAAGCTGGTCATCTCGCACTCGACGCCCATAAAGTCATCTTTCAACTTCCAGGCCGAGTGCTACAAGTTCATCCTCGACTCGTTGAAGAACCGGAAGCAACAGGAGCAACAGGAGCAAGAGGAGCAGGAGCAGGACCGGGAGCGGGAGCGGCGCCATCTGGACTTTCAAGTCGTGAACGCCACGTCCAACTCGACGCACCCTTTGATGCTCTCTCCGTACGAGCTGAACGCCACGCTGTACCTGAACAACACGATGTACCTGAACGCCTCGGCAGCGTGGGCGAATTTGACGACCGCTCCTCCGCTCCCGACTACCCCTCCCCCACCGCCCAGTCGCTCGGAGAGGATGGCCCAGCACTACATTGACAATGTGGGATTCTAGATTGGATCTGTAGTTTGTATCTTATAGCTTGTATTTTGTAGTCTGTAGCCTGTAGTCTGTCAGTAACAGATTGTGGCTTGTGGCCTGAAGTGCATAGTTTGCAATTAGCAGGTCTTTGGAGCTCGGAGCTTGTAGTTAACTTGTAGTTTATAGTTTTTCGGTTTTTTAGTTTATACTTAAATTTTATAGGCCAGGAGTTTGTAGCCTGCAGTTTGTAGCTTGAAAATTAGCAAAAGTTTGTAGTTTTTACCTTATAACTCTTGGCGTTTGTAGTTGACGCATACGGTTTCCAGGTGGTTTTCCCGGTGACGGGCCGCCGTTTGACCATCTTTGGCGAGGAGCTGCCGGACTTTACCAACAAAAACCTCACCGAACGCGCCCGTGTCGTCTACTCAATTTACTTCGCGAACATCACCTACTATGACATGTATTGGGCAGAACAAGCGTGAGTTTATTAGACAACGCGATTGAGGGAGTGAGAGGGAGAAGGAGAGAGAGGGAGAGAGAGAGAGAGAAAGAGAGAGAGACAGAGGGAGGGTGCGAGAGAGCAACGGAGATCTTTTGTTTCCAGCATCAACAAGACGCTGATGCAGCTCTACCCGACGTTTTGCCTCGACGACGAGTGCCTGGACAACTGTAACGAAAACATCACCACGCTGTTTCATGTGGGGTGGTTTAAGAGCACAAATTTACATCGCGTTCCGCGCAAAACCTCATAAAGCCGACCCGTACCAATCCGACCGCAACCGGGACGCGACGTTACACAGACGCGTTTCGTGTCGCGGTGCCGCTCGCAACCCAACCCCGAGATTTAGCCGTGCCCGGTGTGCCAAGAAGGCTTCAACAAAGACTTCCGTGGCTACTGCGTTGATGGTTGTCCAGCGTAGCCGATTAGTGATGCTAATTGGGATATGCGACTTCTTAGGAGCACCTTCTACACACGCCCCGGCGATCTCGAAGAGGTGATGCAGGTGCCACGCGAGCTTCGCGAATGCATGCCGTGCATCGATCCGAGTAGATGCAAGCGATGTGATTGGGTGAGAGCGAGATAGCGCGAGAGAGAGAGCGCGAGAGAGAGAACCAGAGAGGGAGAGAGAGCAAGGGAGAGGCAGAGAGAGCAAGAAAAAAAGAGAAAGAGAGAGCAAGAGAGATAGCGAGAGAGAGAGCGGGAGAGAGGGAGAGAAAACGGTATGGTGAAAGCCACCCTTTTTCCAACTTCCTTTGACAGTACCCCAAAGTGACCTACCGGAACAAAGTGCGCAATTTCACCGGGCACCCGGCGTTGCTGATCAACGAGCCCTACCGGCACACCAGGCAGCAGGAGCTGGATGGTCCGTTTTCCGCAAAATTGACATTTTAAAGGGAGCGTGACACAACAGTCCGAGAAAAATTTTTAATTTGTAGACCCTTCCATCATGCGCGTCAAGTGCCTGGAGCAGATGGACGACAAGCGGGAGCACAAGTGTTTTACCGAGTGGGTGCTTTGAGTGTTCTTAAGCTTTTTCTAATTATCCTGAATGTAAAACCTTTTTAAGGATAAAAAAAAAAAAGGGAATTTAAAAAAAATAAATATAGAACAAAACCCACCCAACATTTTTCTACTTATTATGTCTTTAACGAAAAACATTTTATCGCCCCCCCCCCCCGCCGATAATGGGAAAAAACCAAACCAATACCCAGGTTCCAATTCCTCGGCGCCGACGGCTACTGCTTGCCGTGTCATCCGGAGTGTATCGGATGCGTCGGCTTATCGGGCAGTCAATGCAAAAAGTGCCGGCATGTGATGAACCATTCGGGGGTACGGTACCAAATCTTTAATTTAATTATCGTGTCCGTTTAACTGCGAAATTCCGTTGCAGGCCTGCATCTCTGAATGCCCGAAGGGCTATGTCGCGAAGGAGATGTTGCCCGGGTTCTGGGTCTGCGACTGGCCGCCGGCGCGCGATATTCAAAAAGTGATGGTATGCATAGAGAGAGAGAGAGAGAGAGAGAGAGAGAGAGAGAGAGAGGGGGGGGGGGGGGGGGGGGGGGGGGGGGGGGGGAGGGGGAGGGGGGGAGAGAGAGAGAGAGAGAGAGAGAGAGAGAGAGAGAGAGAGAGAGAGAAGCGAGGACAAGATCGAAATCGAAAGATTGTTTCAGCCCTTCTTCTACTTCGACAGGCAGTACCAGGAAGCGGGGAGCGTCGCGATCCTGGCTATCTACCCGCTGGTGCTCATCCTCTACTGCACGGTGCAATGCACGGCTTGTTGTGGTCGGTCTTAAACTAAATCATAGGCTTTTTAAAGCTAGACAGAAGCATGAAAAGCGTACAACTTTTAAGTGGCTCGGCGGTGCGGAGGGCCCGACAACGCTGAGCTGGTGCCGTGGGGCCAGGAAGAGTGGGGATCGTTGATTTTAGAATTTAATTAATTTTATTTTATTACAGAAAAATCCGCCAGCACGCTATCGAGGACATTGCCTACGCCATGAGCCGGAGGAGGGCGATGCTGTTTGGGGACATGACATCAAGGCGCCCTGCTAGAATTACATGTAGGGGATTTGTAGCGCTCTCTCTATCTCTCTCGCTCTCTCTATCTACTCCATCTACCAATTTCTAGCCTGCGACGTTTCCCACGACGACGAGCGAAACCCGCTGATGAACAAGCACGTGCTCATCAGGCGCGCTGTAAGCTTTTTCTGACGTCCCTAGTAGCATTGCGCACTTCAGCCCCGAATCAAGCCCGCCCCGAAAGTGTCGAAGGAGGTGGTGAAGCCGCTAAGTTGTAAGTTTTTGGGTTTTTCCAGGCCCTTTGAGCAACCCTTTAAACTCATAGTTTTAGTAAGCGAATCCGAGACTCAACCAAGCCACGCGAGCACGCCCGCTAAGAAGCCCAGAAAGGAGAAGCCCGAGTCGATGAAGAGCTACAAGGAGCTCCTCTTCACGCCACCGAACCAGGAGCTGAGCCTGTTGCTCGATGCGACGCCCGTGCCGACGGCGGTGAGTGCGAGAGGAGAGAGAGAGAGAGAGAGAGAGAGAGACATTTTCTAGACCCCTCCTCCTCAACCAACCCAGCGCATCGGCGAAAGCCCCGGCGTCTACGTCACGTCCGTCCGGATGATCACCGACCGCGAGCAGAAGAAGCCCACGGTGACCCCGCTGAAATCGGTAGCCCCTGATGACACTGTTCAAAAACACACGCTCTCCTTCTTCAGAAAACCCCGCTCCGAACGGGACGCTCGGGCGAGGAGCCAAAGCCGCCGACACGACAACTGGACACCCCGGAAGTGGTGGTGCAGCAGCTACTCGGCACTGACCGGCGCACGGGAAGTCGACGACAGAAGTCGGAGCGTCAGAGGAGTCCGAAGAGGGTGGGTGGAGCTTGAGAAAAAGAGATTTAAGCCATGCCTAAGCCATGCCTAAGTCAAGCCTAGGCCAAGCATAAGCCAAGCCTAAGCCAAGCTAAGTCGCGCCTAAGCCAAGTCTAACAAGGGAAAGTGCACGACCGGCCCACGAGAAATCGACACGAGACATAATGGATCTGATAGAATCGGACACGGGGATTCCGAATCTGTAATCAGAATTTGCTAAATAAAACGGAGAAAAAAGTTATGAAGCTGCAAAGTTGGCAAAATCGCCCAAAATCGGACCTTTATGGGCCTGTAAAGGCCCAGGGAATGAAAATTTGCCACAACCCATTAGTGCATCTTGTTCAGCAGAAAAAGCGCTTTCGAATGAGCTATCTTACTTTAAGTTTACGATGATTTCGCGAAAATCTCTTCTATGAACTTGACAGGCCATACCCTTGCCCGTGAATCCAAAAAAACTTTTTTTCAGTGAATTGTTCGCAAATGCTACGTATTACAGCTCATTCGAAGGCGCTTTTTCTGCTGAACAAGGTGCACTAATTCTTTTCTCCTCAATTCCGTTCCACCGGTTTTTACGGGCCCTTAAAGGTACGGTTTTTGGCGATTTTGCCAACTTTGAAGCTTCATAACTTTTTTCTCCGTTTTATTTAGCAAATTCTGATTACAGATTCGGAATCCCCGTGTCCGATTCTATCAGATCCATTATGTCTCGTGTCGATTTCTCGTGGGCCGGTCGTGCACCTTCCCTTGTAAGCCTAAGCTTCAGTCAGCTCCAAGCCTCGTCCTCAATCGTAAACAAATCGCTTAAGCGCCATCTAAAACTCAAATTCAAGAAATTATGTGTTTAGAAAACCGGCGATGGCTCTGGCCGCGCAGACCGACCGGCTCCAATCGACACGAAAAGCCGGCCCAAGGTGAGTTTCGATTTCGTTTTGATTCCACCATTAATGCGCCGATTAAATCCTTGTCTAGTCTTGAAATTACATCGTATTTTTTGCAATTTTTCACTTTCATTTTCAGTACGACGGCCCCCAAGGAAGCGGAAGCGGTCGATCCGGGAAGAGCGGCCGCAACCAGTGAAGCCGCAAAATCGACCTCTACTTGTACCCATTCCATATATTCGTGTTAGCAATTCATCATTTCTTGCAATCCCGTAATCTTGGCGCAATTATAGATTGTGCACTTGAAAATGATCGGAGTTTCTGTTGTAATATTCGTTGTGTCCGCGGAATAAAGATGTGTTAACCGACTTTTTGACAACTGCACTTGTAGAATTTTTTAACGGTTCTCTCTAATTCTCTCTCGCTCTCTCTCTCTCTCTCTCTCTCTCTCTCTCTCTCTTTCTCACATTATCTTGCGCTTACTCGTTAGCTCTCGTTGCCTCCCGCTCCCCTCTCTTTGTCTCTCTCACTCTCTCTTTCTCTATCTATCTCCTTCTCTCTCACTGTCTCTCTATCTCTCTCGCCTGATTGCTCTTGCCCGCTTCCTGTTTTCACCAAATTTGCATTCGGATTTACATGCCTCAAAAAACAGCAAATCTGTCACTTCTCCAAGAAGTTGTTATGCGGCACGGCTTCCTTCTACTTCTCCTCATTTTCATCAAGCGCACAAATGCCATCGGAGGGGTATGTCAATTCGAAAAGCATTAAAATCGTCTTTAGTTGACGATCAGCGGCTGGGACACGCAATGCGCCCATCACCTCTGCGAGTTTCCAAGGAAGTGAGGGATCACGAAGTTCTGATTTGTCTATTTTTTCTAGTTATGCGGGAATATTATACACCCAACTGAACTGCGACACCAGTTTCGAAGTCAACTACCGGTTCGCGTGGGTTTTTTGTGAGCAGGAGAGCGAGAGGGTGAGAGAGAGAGAGAGAGAGAGAGAGAGGAGACAAAGAGAGAGCGAACTAGAGGGAGGAAAGACAAAGACAAAGAGAGAGGGAGAGAGAGAGAGAGAGAGAGAGAGAGAGAGAGAGAGAGAGAGAGAGCAAGAACCTTGCGTTTTATAGTTGTATTTTTGTAGTGGTTTTTAGAGTTTTTTGGTCTTCACATTCAGCAAACAGTTTGGGAACATTTGGGTAACGTAGAATTTCCCATTTTGGTACATTTTAGCGAAAAGCGAACGTACCCTCCCCCCCCCGCTAACAGCCCAGAACCAAAAATGGCATTACCCTTTTAAGCAACTTCTCGCACGTCATCCACAAAGTGTCGGTGACCGAGACGATCGGCGAGCTGGAGGTGCTGGCTGAGGGGAAGAACAGAACGGGTCATCGCTACGACAATCTGCGCTGCTACGATCCCATGGCGCAATTCATGAAGTGGCAGAATCCCACGAATTACTCGGTGCGGTCATGGTAACTTGACTATTCAACCTAACTTGTCAGTCTTAGTGATAATTAGTTTTAAAAAAGTAAAAAACAGAATTGTCGAAACTTTTTATTTTTTGCTCGAAAATATAAAAAAGGACTGAAAGACGGCAGACTTTAGCCACAATTCCTTTCTGTTCAGGTTGACTTCGAATGGAACAACACGAACTGCATGACGTACTCGGAGAACTGGGGGTGCATCGAGTGCCCGGTCGGCTATGTGATGGACGAAAATCAGACGTAAGGGAGCGCTCAAAGCCCGGGCATAAGTTTGAGCCTGAGCTTACACTTGAGCATGAGCTCTGCTTAGCTTTCTAGTGGTGATCCGCACCCGAAGCGTAGATGGTACTAGACCCTTAGCAGGGGGAAACTCATTTTCTTTTTTTCGTTCTCTTTCTTCTTTTTTTCATTTCCCACAACCCCGCCCCACTAAGAGTCCAGTACCGCTCCCACCCCCCCCGCGCCCGCGACCAGTCTGGTACCATCCCCCCGCTAACGCACCAGTCCCTATCCTTTTAGGGCTCGCGGACAACGTCTCGCCATTGATGATGAATTTCAGAATGAAAGACCCAGGACGCTTCGGCGGGTCGTACGCCGGCTGCCGGCCTATCGACCTCGAATGGGCGGGTTACGACCTAATCCCGAAGACATTCGACGATGCGGCCGCCCTGGCATTGCCGCCGCTGGGGCATTGGTATTGTCCGGAGTAGGACGTAGTTCACGGCCATGAAATGTGGACACTTTTAGCGGCAAATATCGTCACCCCGAGTACGGCACTTGCGAATACAGCTGTTTGCCGAATTGCAGGATGTGCCGGAATAAACAGGTTAGGAGAGATGCGACAGAGGAGGGCGGGGGGGGAGAGAGAGAGGGAGGGGGCGGGGGAGAGTGAGAGGGGAGAGAGAGCGCGCGAGAGAAATAAAGAGAGAGAGGCGAAAATAGAGTGTGAGAGAGAGAGAGTGGTACAGAGAAACTCATCAAAGATTTTCTGAATTTCCAGTTTTGCGAACAATGCGACATTGGCTTCACGCCGACCCCAGATACGACTGGCTGCTTTCCGACACGGCCCGCAAAATGTCCAGCGTACGGCTATCGTGAAAAATTAGTTATTTTCTCCTTGTTTTCAGCAACTTCTTTCGGCTGGGCGACCAGTGCTACGCGTGCAGCATGAAGACGGCGGGCTGCGAGCATTGCAACGAGGCGGTAGCGTTAATTTTTGGGTGTCAAGCGGTCCCTTAAAAGCGGCCTAAAAACCCCCTTAACCGACTGAATAAAACGCATCAATGCCATTCGATCTTTTAGCCCAAAAAATAGATCAACAAAAAAGTTTCAAAATTTGTGTCTTCAAACGCAAAAAAAAAATTTGTTTAGACCGGCAAATGCGAGACGTGCACGTCGGGCTTGCTGCTTCGCCAGTCCTACGGGGGATGACCTGCTTTGAGCCGTGCATCCGGTAACCCTGCCTTGCAGGTTCATCTAAACTGCGAAATTCAGGGGAACGTACTTTGATGCGATGCTGAACCGGTGCGAGCAGTGCCCGAGTTGGTGTACGGCTTGCAGAGGGTGGGTTGGGCCGTGGGCGAGAGGGGGTACCGGAGTCAGAGAGCGGGAGAGTAGGAGAGACAGAGGGAGAGATTGAGAGAGTGCAGTTTACCCCCTCCCCAGCCGGCACCCAACTTTTGTATCTGGGTTCCCTATTCATCTACAGGTGTGTAAAGTATCCTACTATATATAAAAAAATAGTGTCTGTGTGTGTGTGTGCCACTTTGCATCCACTTCCGTATCGTTGTTCCAGTAGTATCTCCATAGGGGAAGAAGTTAGGGGTGGGTATGATATGTCATTAGGTGCGTAATGGTCTAGGGATGACTGCCCACATATCAGATTTATAAAAAACCGCCATTTTCGATATTAAATTAAAGTTTTTGTAAAACCCTCTTCGCTAGGAAAAATTAGCATTGACCGGAAGTGGGAATTCGCTTATATAAAGGGTCTCAAGCGAATCATTTTCATTTTTTTGTCATCTGAATTCAGCACAATTATGCAAAGCGTAGAACAGCATACGGTTCAAGACGGGTCCAGGGTTGAAAAGTCGCGAAGCGGTTTTTCAACCCTGGTACCAAAATGTTCGTCTTGCTCTGGCGAGTATTTTGGTATACCTTAGCCTGTAGATGAACAGGGAGCCGAGATAAGGTAGGTGGGTGCCGGCCACCCAGATACTGGAAAAGAACCGCTGAGTTTTAGTGCGACAGACTGCGACGAATGTGCCCCCGGACTGTACCACTATCTCAACGACCGTGTGCTGGAGTGTCGCAGCCTGTGCCCGTAGCCACATTAAACTAGAAGCTTTAGCCCTCATCCGCTTTTCAGCGAGACCCACTACCCGATCTCGTCGTACCCGATGTATTGCAAGCCATGCCACGATTGGTGCGATTGGTGCTGTGGGTCTTCGAACAAGACTTTTTAATTGTCGACATTACGGTACTGGGCTGATAGGGGGGGTGTCACACTTTTTTACATATTCAAGTTTTTTATTTTTTATTCTCGTTTCTAAGATGTTTTTAACTATTTTTAAGCATAAAAACTTTACAAATCTTAACGAAAAATTATTTAGGTCGAAAAATTGTTTTTTCCGGCCCAAATCTTTCAAAAGTTGTTCTACTTTAGCATAGCTAAGCTTATAAAAAATAATGTCAATTGTTTTGCAGTAAACGTTCAAAATTTTGCATTTCTTTTCTAGAAAATTTTTCCGCCTTTTTCCAGACGGCCCCACCAACCATCACTGCTACAAATGCAGGTTCTACGGGGTGATCGAGCTGGATTCGGCTGTGGTGGGCATTTTCCAGGGCGGCGGTTCTTTCTCAATATCCATGCTTTTTGCATAAGTCTTGAATGCCCAGTAACTTGATAAAAAGTGTTTTATTAATGTTTTTAGTAAAAAAAGTGGGCGTGGCTCCCACCCCCCGCTAACAAAACAGAACTTTAAAGCCTTTGATACGTTTCCATTGCAGCCCTACTGCGTGGCGTACGACTTCCACGACACCTTCCCGATCAAACCTGGCAAAGGGCAACAACAGCCCGGCCTCAAAAGAAGATTGCTGGCTGGGGAGAGCTTCAACATGACCGAATTCTGGGAAGTCTACGTGCCGGCCATGTTCGATGCCGCTGACTGGGAAAAGAACGCCAGAGCGATCATGAACAACCTGCTATTGGGGGTAGAGAGAGAGAGAGAGAGAGAGAGAGAGAGAGAGAGAGAGAGAGCGAGCGAATCGCTGGTTTTTCAGATGATCACCAGCAGATGGGGCGCCAATCGCACAATTTTCGGCTTCACCGCGCCGGCGCTGTCGAACCCTGGGCCTAACGGCGGTATCGACAACATCTTCTCACGCTTCTTTGAGGATCGGGAGGCGGTCGATACATGGTTTCAGACGTGAGTCATGGGCTCACGACCGCCTACCCTCTGCGCCACCTTTGAATCAAAATTTACCAGTCCATTTAACGTGTGAGTTGGATATTTCTCTCCAGAAATACCAGATGAGATTTTCCAACGAACAATTCCTCAGCCAAGAACGAGCAGAAATCTCCAAGACGAATTGATCACAAGTGATCTACAAGCAACTCAAGAAACTACGACTAAAACCGTGTTATAAATTAGAGGAAAACAATAAATGAGTTAAAAATTATAAAAGACTAAGTAAAAGATAAATTTTGAGTGAAATTTTGGAAAGTTTAGACCTAGAAAACCCTATTGTGAATGGTATATGTAATTAAAAAGGGAGATGAAATAGTAATGAGTTTATTTTGATAAAAGTTTGATAGATAAAATTTAAAGTGAGTTGTGGAAAAGGGATAAAAGGGGGAATAGGAGGGAGGAAGGGACAAATTGGGAATTTAAAAGAAACAAAATTACCCGAAAATGATAAAGGACCCAAAATGACAGTTTAAAACGATTGAAACCGATGGAAAAGAGATTGGGGGTGACAAAATTAGAAATTTTGACAATAGTAAACGGTTTAAAAGTTTAAAACCACATTTGGGTTTTTACATAGATAAGGGGCAACGATTTGGGGGGAAAACGGGGGACAGGGCGAGACTGGGGAAAAAATCCTCTTTGGCTTTTTGCTCGGCGGTCAGTGGGTGGTCGGCGCACAGGGTGTAGCGTTGCGTGTCGTCGGACGTACTCCTTGCATTCCTTCACCACTTGCGATTCGACTTGTTCTTGGGCTCTTCTCGACGAGAAGGGGATCGGCGATATGGGTGCAACTTCCTGACTGGTGGGGGGGACAATGGACAAATTCTCGACTTTTTCAAACTTTTTTCCAACTTTTTTTTGAAAGTTTTTCTACTCTAAATATAGTTGAAATTTACTAAAAACAATGTAACACTTTATATTTGATTAGTAGGTCAACCGGGACCACCAGGAAAAAATTGCCCCCCCGGAAATCCTTATCGATCGAACTCTGGAACTGGAAAATGGACTGATAAAAAAAACGAACTGGGGAAAGGATCGGTCGAATAACGTCGAACACGGTTTAAAATCCAAACAGAGCGGAAAAATTCAAAATACGTTCCCCTTCCCGCTCGACCCTCCTCCCCCGCTAACGACCCAGTACCCAGCAAGCTTCAGGAACACGGGCAACACGACGCGACGAAAGGTGGACACGTGGGCCCCGTTCTGCAAGAGCGAGGACTGTCTGGCCAATTGCAACCGCACGCAATCCACGGTGTTTGATGTGGGTGAATTATTTTCTTGAATTACTCGGTTACTGTTTACGCGCCCGTCGCTCGGGAAAAACATGAAAGCCCGATTTTAGCCTTGCAACTACTGCCAGGACGGCTTCATGAGGGATTTTCGCGGCTATTGCGTCCCGGAGTGCCCGGAGTAGGTTTTTAACGGGGCCCGGACGGCTTGGTTGCGTCTTGGCAAAGGGCCAGGATCTTTGCATCCCAAGCTTTGCAGCAGACCTTGGGATATATTTGCGCGGTTCTTTCGCATTATCGGGGGGGGGGGACAAAATATAAACCATTTTTCGAGCATTCTAATTGTTTTTAAACGTAAACAATAATTAATAAAACTTTTTGAAGTTTCTTTACTTTTTCGCCATAGTTATGGAAAATCACCAAATAGATCAAAGTTTACGAATTTTCAAAACCAGTGGAAAAAGTCCGCTTCGCGGCCCTTTTCCACTGGACCCCCGTCTAGGAAACATGAATTCCCTTTCCTTTTATTGAAGCCTGCGGCGCAAGAGCCTGACTAAAGCAACCATTCTTTGGCCTTCGGCGGCAGAGCCAGCGCTGCGTTAGAATCTTTGAGCCTGCGGCGCTAGTTACTGGTTTTTCTCCCGATTTGGCCTGCGGCGCCAGAGCCTGGGCAAAGTACGTTTTCTTTGGCCTGCGGCGCTAGAGCGAGGGCCAGGCCTAAACCTCGCACACGGAGGGCCCAGACATATGTTTGTTGTTGAAATCCCAAAAGGTAAAAAGTGAAATTCGGCGCGGATTCGAACCCCTGACCACGCGCTTGGTAGACCGGCCGTCAATCCACTACACCACCGGGCGATGGCGATGGGCGGCGGGAAAGCCCCTCTTCTGTCTAGGGGGGGGCCTCATCCCGGAGGGACGATTTCTGGTAACTTTACACAATTCTCTTGTTGAGTCTGAATGCGGCAAAAATTTGTAAAAATAATAAGATGCGCATGATCCCCACTATCGAATACATAAGTGGACCATTACAGACCAAAATTCCATCTGGGCTTCGAGTTATGGCCCGGACACCACGGGACTGTTGTCATTTTATTAAGGGCCTTTTAGTAAATTGCTCATAAAAACTTTAATTTAAGTAATTTGGCAAAATCGAAAAAATAGTATCGGGAGAATTGCTTTTACCACTCACCCTCCAAAAATCAGAGCCCAACTCCTCTTGGCGGCCGAGAAAACCTCCGGACATACCTTTTTTTGGGCAAAATGTTAAGGATTTTTTACTATTTTTGTTGTAAAATCGTTAAATGAAGGAATTTCGTCAAACAAAAAAATGCATCACTGACAAATGTGTTTCTCTACCTGCATGCCAAAAATCAGCCGGAAATTCGGCCTGGCGGCCGAGAAATCGGCTGTACAGAAAACAGACATACTTTTCTCGCTTATAGGATAGGATCTTTCTAGCAGTCGAAAGCTATTAAAAACACTATAAAAGGACATTATATATCATGAGCAGGTGGAAAAAAATAACTGTTTTTCCCCTGCCAAGGCCTCCCCCCGCTAACAGTACAGAACCCTTTCAGCTAGCTTTTATTCAGAAGCACCTTCGACTCGAGGCCCGACGGGACATTTGAGGTCGGCCATTTGGACATGCCCTCCTGCATGCCCTGCTTTGATCCGAGGCGATGTGGCCGGTGTGTTTGGGTATGGAATGCTTTTAAATGCTTTTTTGGTTTGGACCAAAATTTCAACGTTTTCAACATTTTTTAAAGTGGTTAGATAGTCACTCTCTGTGTATCTGTCTCTCTCTGTCCCCCCTCTCTCTCTCTCTCTCTCTCTCTCTCTCTCTCTCTCGCTTTCTCTCTCTCGTCTCTCTCTCTCCTTCTCTATCTCTCTTTCTTTCTTTCTATCTATCCAAATATCTATCTTTCTATCTATCTGTCTGTCTCTTTTTTCCTCTCTCTCTCTCTCTCTCTCTCTCTCTCTCTCTCTCTCTCTCTCTCTTTTCTCTCTCTCTCTCTCTGTCCCTCTCTTTGAAATAAAAATAAGAAAAAATGTCGACAAAATGGGCCGAATGGCACCGTTAAAAATATCCACGTTTTTTGTGGTTTTCCAGTTCAAATTTATTTAAATTTTATTCAGAACCGCTTAAAAGAAAGTACCCAAGTCAACTTGCAGTACGATTCGATCGAATTGAAGTACGGCAGCTCCACGAAACGCTACCACCCGGGCACCCTGGTCAATCATCCATTAAACTTCAGCTACCGCGAGGAGCTGGAACGTATGAGTCCTACCGTACTACCGTCCTCACACTTTTTAGAGCCGAGCCTGATGCGCCTCCAATGTCTAGCCAAGGTCGACGAGAACCGCCAGCAGAATTGCTACTTTGAGTGAGTTGGCGTAGCTTTTTCGGTACCGGACTGTTACCGGGGGGTGGCGTGGCGTCTTCATTTTCCCAGGCCTTCATTTCTTGATAGCCTTTTACGTCGTTTTTATCGAAAATGTTCGCACATAAATCATAAAAATACAAAGTTTCCGCTTTTTAGTGAAAAATGTAAAAGTACCAAATAAATCGACCTTTTTCGAAATGTCAAAAATGAATCAAAAAATTTTGTAGCTAATTTAAATTACCAGAAATGAAAAACTATTCAAAGCCGCGGACGAACCGCCGCGTATTTCAGTCTCTCTCTCACTCACTCTCTCGCTCTCTCTCTTTTCTCTCGCACCCTCTCGTTTCCAGTTTCCAATTCCTCGGCGCCGACGGCTACTGCCTGCCCTGCCACCGTGAATGCATCGGATGTGTCGGCTACGCGGGCAACCAATGCAAAAACTGTCGCCACTTCCGCGACCAAGAAGGGGTTCGGTCTATGTCCGAATCGATTGCGTTTTCAGTACTGCATCAAAACTTGCCCGGACGACCACATCCCCGTCGAGATGATGCCCGGGATGTGGTTCTGCAACCTGCGCGAACCTCGTCAACCCCTGGGGCGGGATGTACGATACTTTGATGGGAATTGATGGGCCAACAATTTTTACAGGAGATCACGTTCAACCAAATCTACATGAACAACATTCGACCGGCGGTGTGGGCCGGCTGGATGCTCTTCCTTCTCTACGTGTTCAACCAAAGTGCCGCCATGTTCAGTACGTCGTAGACCTCAAAAATGTCCGAAATTTTTCGATTTTTTCCTTTTTTTCAAATTTTCGAGCCCAGCAACTCGATTTCCGGTTGTTCTAATAATTTTTTTCACCCATTTCCAGTCGCCCTACGCTGCTCTGGGGCTGACAACGCCGAGATTGTGCCTTGGTGCAAGGAGAGGTACGGGGGTTTAGGGTACTGGACTGTTAACAGGGGGGGTGTTAATTTGTGCTTTTCATTTGTTGTATTGTTACATTGTTTTAGTGGTTTCTGATTACTAGAAAGTACAATAAAATACTTTAAAAATTTTCGAAAATTCGAAAATTTTGGCCTGTTCGGCCATCTTGATTCACTTTGACCAAAAAACCAAAAAACGAAAATTTTCATAAGGTTTTATGAACTTTTTGTATCTGAGAACTTTATGCTAGAAACCTAATTTATATTTTTTATGGGACTTTCCAGCATTGTTGAGAAAATTAGTCTCCCCTGCCAAACCCCCCCCCCGCTAACAGCACAGTCCCGGTTTTTGAAGAACTTATTTCCGAGATGTTCACATTTTGCAAAAACCGATTCAGGCAAATACGCTCCGATGCGATACAGGAGATGCGGAAGCTGATGCTGGCCCGCCGCAGCCAGTCGAAGACCGCCGGGCTTGGGGTGCACGCACGCGCCTTTATGCGCGTCTCGAGAGAGCGATGTGGGTTTTGGAACCGAATTTATTAAGTTTTGAGGATGAACGGTTCTGGTTGTTTAGCGAGGGGGGGGTTATCAGGGGAACTACGCCTACTCCACTTTCGCGTTCCCGATAGACATATTGTGATCGCTCGACGCGTAGTGCAGTTGTCGAGGCCCAGTCGCCCGTGAGGGTAGATTCTGGCGACTCGGAAGCCCCTTTAAATGGGTTCAGAAGAGTCCAAAAAGCTCAGATATCCTCGCAAAAATACTCTGATTTTTTGCAGCGATGGTGGACGTGTGCACGATCCGACGGAATCCGCTCAAAGCCGGCGGGCTGATCATCCGCAAAAATGTAGCAATTTTCTATTTTTTCTATTTTTGTAGTCCACTTTTTTTACGCCATTTGATCCCTTGAAACAATCATCTTTCAGATCAATCGCAAGGACCTGGTGCGCCCGACCACCAAGGAGCTCGTGCTCCCGCCTACATGTAATGATTTTGCGGGTTTTTCGGTTTTAAAGGGGTAATGCCAGCAAAATTATGATGCTTATTTTGGGCGAGCGTCTAGGTTGTGCTCAATTTTCGGCCGCTTTACAGGAACCGGAAAGCTGGAATCCACTCAACTACACATTAATGATCGCTTTCCCGATCAAAACTTTTCAGTAAGCGAAGCCGGCACCCAGGAAAGCATCCGCGAGAACCCACCCGAGCAGTCGAAGCGCCAGAAGTCGCAGAAGGGCTCGGCGAAGAGCTTCAAGGAGGTGCTCTTCTCACCGCCCGAGCACAGCCTCGACGACACTGGCGCCTTGTCCCCACCGCCGCAACCAGTCAAGCCACCACAGCCAACTGTAAGGCCTCCCAGAGAGAGAGAGAGCGAGAGACAGAGAGCGAGAGAGCGCGACCGGAAGTTGCACCTCACTAACCCTCATTTTTAGGAAAAGCGCGTCTCGGAACGCTGGCCATCGGTGGATCCAAGACCAACGCAAAAGACGACTCTTCAAACGCCAATGAGCCCGATGACGGCCGCCGATGCGATGGTGCTGCTGGGTGATAAGAAGACGGTCAGCCGGCAGAGGACTTTGGAGAAAAGCAAGCGACAGGTAAATTGGAGATCTCGGACATTAGCTTCGTTTTTAGTCGACCGGCGATGGCGAGAGGAAGCTGAAGACGCCGAATGACACGAAGAGTCGGGCTCAGGGAAAGGTGAGAGGGAGAGAGAGAGCGCGAGAGAGACAGAGAGAGCAAGAGAGAGATAGAGAGAGAGCGAAAGAGCGAGAGCGAGAGAGAACAAGAGAGAGACAGAGATAGAGACAGAGGCACTGCGAGTTGCGAGAGAAAAACAGGTGCAGGCGAGAGGCGGAGAGCGACAAACAGAAAGAGGGCGAGAGAGAGGAAAAATTTTTCAAACAATGTTTATCTTCTTTTTCAGTCCGGCCGCAGCACGCAGCAATCCCGCCGTAGCGAACGCCGGAAGCCACAATAATCTACTCCCAGCTGACCCGATCCCTCTTCTATTTTCCCCAGGCTTCTAGAATTCCTTATTTCCCGCCCCATTTCTTTATCCCTTTGATCTCCTCTCTGTTTTTTGTATTTATCATGCTCTCGTGTTCCTCGGTTTAGAGATTGATTTGTGCGAGTGGGATAAATGTGTCAGGTTTATTCAACGTCGAGAAAACGCCTCAAAAATCCACAGCAGAAATTAGACACATTTTTATAATAAACGTTACAAGTAAGATACTCAGCAAAAATTTATAGACAGGTGAAACGAAGCTAAAAACCCGTAATCACAACACAAGGATGATTTTCAGAGATGATGGAGAGGGGAACCCGTTTATTCAAGGCAGCATTTTGGAAGAAATTTGAATATTATTTACAATAGCAGTATGGGCGCATGTAGGGCTTTTCGCTGGCGACGCAGTCGGCCGATCTGCCGTACTCGTTCAGCCGGACCGGGTAGCCGAAAGCCTGGTAGCCGGGGTTTTGACGGATGCGCTGAAAATGAGAAATTTCTCTCTCTCCCTCACTCGGTCTAGCTCTCTCTCGCTTCTAAGTAACTTACCGCTTTGTATTTGCCCCGATTTGGGAGGGTACTGAAGGTGATTTCATAGAGGTGCGTCTCCTCTTCCGGATCGTATACTTGAACCTGATCTACCTAAAAACGAATCTTTCTCGTGCTCCTCTGATCTCTCTCCCCTACCACATTGAGCTTCAGCGTTGCACACTTTGACTCAAGCCCTTCGAGCTTCAGCTTGTCGTTGATTGTCTTCACAGCCACCTGGGCCATCTCGTGGTACGTAGATGGCTCTCTAAAACCCAAGTAAATTAAGGGGAGAGAGAGAGAGAGAGAGAGAGAGAGAGAGAGAGAGAGAGTCAGAGATGATCAACAAAGACTCACGCTTTTGTCGTCCTGTTCAACTCGCACAGGCAAAAGTCACCAGTCACCGGAATCGTTTGACAGCTTCTAAAATTCAGATTCTAGGTTAGCCCAAACTTTAAACTTTACTTATCTTGCTCTTTTAAGGAAATCCACCTGTCCTCAAACCGGCCCAACGGCCTCAAAAGCGACGTCCCATTATTCGGATTCGGCTGCAACACCTCCACGTAGTCGAAATTTGTGTAGTTTGTAGCGTGGGAAATCTGAGCCACCAATTTTCAGCGAGGCCCTGGATCTCTACCTTCAAAATGTCCTGCAGCGTCGCGTACACGTCGTAGTGGGTGACCAGCTTGGCGGAGTGGGCCTTGAGGTTGGCCATTACCTAAAAATGGAGTTTCAGGTTGGCCGCGATACGCAACGCGCAGGCGTGGCGGCTGCGTTAAAAACCGGAGACAACCTAACGCCCTCAAAAAAGACCGTATACACAAACCTGAGCGTTTTCACGTAGAAATTTCGGGACGGTGATCATCAACAACGGGTTGTTCATCTCACGTTGCCCAAAATTGCGCCTTAGAGTCTGAAAAATCAGTTTTTTTCGTCTGTACTTTACGCCCTCTGTCTCTCTCGCTCTCTCTCCTCCCTTTCACCCTCTCCCTCTCTCTCTCTCGCTCTCTCGCTCTCTCTCTCTCTCTTTCTCTTTCTCTCTCTCTCTCAACAACTCACCGGCCCATAACGAACTCCATGATCAGCCATAAAAATGACAAATGAATTCGAAAACGTTTCAGCGTGGTCTTGGAAATATTTCTAAAAAATGGATGCTATTCGTAACCTAAGTTCGATACCAAAAACACGGGATCGGCGTGGTTGAGGGCGTAGGCGTTGTTGTGCGAGATTTCGACCAGCCAGCTGAGCCCAAATTTTCCCGTATCTAAGAAAAAGCCGTTTAATCAAGTTAAGAAACTTACTGTTATAAGCCGCCGCGAATTGAGCGTGATGCTCGAGTAGCAGATGCCACTCTTCGATGCATTTTCCGGTCAATTTCTTCTCCAACCCCTTGTTCTTCTCCATCGTGCTGACGATGGCACTGAAAAAGATGTCGGTTCAATCGAAAAAAGAACGTCAAATCGATTTTGCGGATACCTAGATTAAACAGAGCTTTAAAAAAAGGATCAATCACTGAAAAACGCTGAATTCTTCACGTTCCTAACTTTCTAATTTTTAGGTGTAAGATTATACCCAATTTTTTTGGTATTACGCATCTCAAATAAAAATCGAATCCGAAATGGTTTAAAAACCGGTTTTATTTATTTTAAAAAGCTTAGATTGCCGATCCTTACCGATAGTCATGGGTGGCCGGCTGCTCCTTGAACCCCTTGCAATCCGGGTAGGTGAACACGTCGCCCCAGTCGAATTGGATCATCGTTTTGTAGCCTCAAAAAGAACGGAGAATTTTCAGAGCTTTCGTAAAAGGTAAAAAATTAATTTTTATACGAAAAAAATTCGAATTTCGGTGTGATCCGACAAGCCGAACAGCCTACAGCCGTGAAAACCAGAGCGTTCGACGTGCGTATGGGACCAAAAAAATAACCCCTTTTCCCACCGAAACCCACCCGCTCTCTCATACTCGTTGAAGATGAACGTCCGGTTGTCGAGATACTGCTTGCAGTTCTCGTCAAATGTCGATTGGGCCAACAGGTCTTCTGCGCCCAAGAAGGCGCGGGTGATGTCGTCAAGACGCTCACCTGGAAATGTGGTTTTCAACTTTAATCTTAAGCCTGAACCTTTTACCCCGTCGCTATATTTCCTAAACGCTCCCTGCTAGTATGCCCTATTAAACTGCTCACCTAGAAGAAACGCAAATCCATTCGGCTGGCTCCCATCGGCCACCCGATTCATGTGGTGCATGAAAACTGCGCCCATCTCCTTCTCGAGGTATTCGACAGTACGGGGGAGGGCTCTGGAAATGAGGGTAAGGGAAGAGAGAGAGAGAGAGAGAGAGCGAGCGAGAGTGAGAGAGAGAGAGAGAGAGAGAGAGAGCTTGTGCGATCGATAAATAAAAGCGCAATTCCAAACGCTTCCCAGCCCATTTAAAAGCACCAACCTCCTTGTCTGGGTCCCAGCCACCGAATCGAGCAGTATAATGTGAACATCAGGACGAAAATTTCCGGTTGGCGGCTGGATTGGGCCGGCGTTCTTGCGCCTGAAAACCAAAAACTTAGAGCTTTTTTACTTCCGTGCACTTCAAAGACCTTTTAACCCCCCAAAAACAGCAAGATCTTACGGTGCATCCCGTTCAATTAGCTGGATATGAAGGTATTCATCAGCCACATCCGGCCTTCCCCGCCTCGTCTTCTTATAGCAGATGGCGTGCACGAACTCGCACTCAATCTTCCGCTGTTGACCCGGATCCAGGCGCCAGGGGCTGCCACGGCTGAACCCGGTGTGCCAGTCGTTGTAGTGACACCTAAAAGTCGTGTAGTCGTTTTTACGTTTAGAAATACTAAACAACAGCCTAGAAACACTTCCTCCAAATTGATTAGAAAAATTGGTTTTTAGAAAAAGTCTACTTACCGCACATCGCAATACTCGACGTTTTCCTTCCATTTATCCACAATCCGGATATGGCCATCCTGGAGGGCGGTGGCCGGTGTCTAAAGGAGTGGAACGTAGCTAGTTGGATGCTGATTTAGGGCAAGCAATAAAGATAAGGGAATTCAGGGTGGATTGCTCACCCAAGTAAGCACTAAGATTCATCAAAAAACGAGCCGTAATGGAGATTGTTTATATTTTTCAATGGAAACTTCAAAACTTCATTTTTTAAGGTAAAATACCGCCCTTTTTCGTCAACTTTCTAGGTGGTATAAAAGGCCCTACGCATTCAAAAAGAAAAACTCACATAATTCCTATCGCAACCCCGCGTCGGATCGATGTTCTGGAACGTCGAATTGATGTTGTCGTGGTACGGGTCGAAAATCGGCAGGTGGCACTTGGCAAAAATTCGGTTCGAAAACTCCGTAAAATTCGGATTCAGCTCGAAGGGTGCCGCGTCGTGTTCAGTGGAAAGCCCGAGAGTTCGGCTGCCTTCTGAAAAACACCATCAAATCGCGCAAAGCAACCTCCCGCTTTTTTCTATCCACTGGGCCCAAATTTTTACCGCTTTGGCGAAAATATCGTTGAAATCACGATTTTTAATCGTTTTTGATCATCCTAATCGCACCAAAAAAAGCAATTATTTTGCTTTGAAAATTTGGTTTCACATATATTTTATGAAGTCCGATCGCTGGTAGGAATTTTAACCCGATCGGATATAAAATGGCCAAGTGCCAAGGGGCAATTGTATACCTGTAATGTCGGCAAAATTGGGCAAATGCTCGAAGGCCAGCTCCCGGTAGTAGAGCACCAGTCCGAGCGCCGCCAATATCACCAGGCACACCCGACGCCCGATCATCACATGGGCCTGAAAAATCCAACGAAATCGACCGCATTTTAGCAAAACTTGTCGAAATTCTTGATAAAAAAAGTATAAAAAGTTCTTAGAAAAAGCCCCGGATTCTTCTAAAGAATTTTTGGTGAGACATCGAGCACATTTCGTGCACCGTCACAACATCAGGGGTAAGAAAACAGGGCCGTAATTTCAAGCCGGAAAAACAAGAGGCTAGTTTTTTTTTTTTTGAAAGGTACTTTGGCATTATCGGGGGGACCAACTTTTAGCTACGTCTAGAAACTCGTAACTTATTAGGAGGTAATTTTGTAGTGTTTTTAGTAGAATATAAATATATTTCAGGGACGAAAAACTTTCTGAAAGCTTTTTGGGAAACCTAAAGTTACGAAAGTCGAATTTAGGTCGAAGAATCGGCCGTTTCAGGGCGAATGATCAATATTTTTGATATTTTTTTATAAAAACCGCCTCGCGGCTCTTTCAAGCCTGATTTTTATTAAAAAATATCAAAGCGTACCTGATAGTTATAGGCGTGCATGTTGCTTGCCGAACCTTGATGAAATGAAAAGAACCCCGTCTACCCCCTTAGGGTTTTCCCCATGTCCGGCGCATGCAAATTGCCGCCTACCAAATAGATTTTTCGATATCTTTACCACATATGAAAAGAGCCGAAAAGCTGAAATCTGCGGTCGTGGCCAGCCCGCGGCAGGTTTCTAGTCTGGGCCTATAAAATGGGCATTTCTGAAATGTGTGCGGTGCGGTGATGCACCCAGTGATTCTGGCATGATAAGGGCCTTTGGTCGCCCGGTTCCGCCCTGGTCGTCTAGATAGCATTTCATAAAACATGCGCATATTTAGCGAGATTCGCCTTCAAAAATTTTCTAACCCTTTTGGTTATCCTACCTTATATAATTTTGGCGTGTATCTTTGTGTGTGTGTGTGGATGTCAGTTTCGAGGCCCGATTTGAGGGCCTTCCCGTGGATAAAATGCCCTAATTCTCCGTCACCCGGGGAAATCGACCCTTCTCTTTCCGATGGCGTTTTCAGAATTTCGATAAAATACAAGATTACAAAGTTAAGGCCGGTTTTATTCATTTTTGGGGGTCCCTGAGGGTTAATTTGCATAACGCGAGAAAATCCAAATTTCCTCATTCTCGCCAGTTGCACTCGCGCGTTTGGCTGCCTCATTGGAGCTGCCTCTCATTGCCTTGCCCCCTTTCCCGTTAGTCACCTCGGGGGATACAAGGGCTGTTGCGCGCGCGCTCCCAAGCGTTTCATGGTATAGTGGTTAGAGCGTCAGCCTGCCAATCTTGCCATCGTGGGTTCGATCCCCGGCGATCGTAATTTTTTGCTTTATGCTCGGACTGCATGTTTCGAAGTGTATTTTCCTGTAAGGAGGCGCTATTCTGAAGTCAGTTGCTCTAAACTGCGTCGCAGGCTAACGAATCCAGCCAGGCACTGAAACTACCGCCGCAGGCTAAAGAATGAAGCTATCTTCTCAAGCTAGCGCCGCAGGCTTTAGAACGAAGCTAGCCGATGAAGCTAGCGCCGCAGGCTTTAGAATGAAGCTAGCCGCACAAGTTAGCGCCGCAGGCTTTAGAATGAAGCTAGCCGCACAAGCTAGCGCCGCAGGCTTTAGAACGAAGCTAGCCGCGCAAGCTAGCGCCGCAGGCTTTAGAATGAAGCTAGCCGCACAAGCTAGCGCCGCAGGCTTTAGAATGAAGCTAGCCGCACAAGCTAGCGCCGCAGGCTTTAGAATGAAGCTAGCCGCACACGCTAGCGCCGCAGGCTTTAGAATGAAGCCAGCCGCTGAAGCTAGCGCCGCAGGCTAAAGATTGAAGCTGCCCTCTCAAACTTGCGCCGCAGGCTTCAGACCAAAGCTAGCCGCAGAAGCTAGCGCCGCAGGCTAAGGAACGAAGACACCATCTCAAGCCTGCGCCGCAGGCCTTAGACCAAAGCTAGCCGCTGAAGCTAGCGCCGCAGGCTTTAGAACGAAGCTAGCCGGACAAGCTAGCGCCGCAGGCTAAAGAATGAAGCGGCCCTCTCAAACTTACGCCGCAAGCTTAAAGAAGGAGGTAACCGCTCAAACATGCGCCGCAGGCTTTCTCTCGAAGCAGGTTCTTTGTCTTTCCCTCAAGCTCGGGCCGCAGGTCGCCGCAGGCCGAATAACAAGACTAACAGTTCAATCTTGCGCCGCATGCCAATACAAAGAGTTTTGCATGGGAGATTGGTTTTTCCTTCTTCAAGGTAACTTTGTGTGGAAGGGCGCTGGATTAATAGGGCCTAGACGGGATCCAGCGGGGGAGAGTCGCGAAGCGGCTCCTCCCCCGCTGGTTTACTATTACTATAATAAGCCCGCAAATTTGACAAGTTTTTATGAAAGAATAGAAAAGATACCGATTTTTGAGCTAAAATGGCGATTTCCGACAGCAACTTTACAGTTTTCTAACGTTGTGAATAAACGCTATTAGAACAAACACAGACTATTACGTTAATAGACATTTCCCGACCCACTGCCAAGGCAAAAGTAGGTGCTTGCACCCCGATCAACTTCAGGTTTTCCATTTCCTTAAAATATTGCAAAATGGTATTTTCAAAACCTCAATAAATAACAAAACTACGAGCGATCGTCCTAGATGCTATTGCAGAACTATTCTTAAGCTTCTTCTGTGTAGTAAACCCCAATATTTGATAGCGCCGCTTTATTTATTCTATAGCTCAAAACCGCCGACCACTCGATGTTGCCAAAAAAAGATAAAGCAGCGCCATGCCCTATCGATCCTTTGCCTAAAAGGGGCCCGACTAGTGAAAGTTCATACCAAAACTCGCCGGTATTGGTCTGCTAGATGTAACTGAAAACTCATACCAAAACTTTTAGGATCTGCCGACCCGTACCTAAATGGAATTCAGCGCTTCGCCGCTTTGTCTTGGCCTTGGTCCTCGTTTTGCAAGAAATCGTACAAAATTTTGACATTTCAAAACAACATTTATTAATTTCCACGTAAAGTAACGTAGCATAACAAAGGAGGTAGCAATGTAACATTTAAAAGGTGACAAAGTTTTAAAGTAAAAAGTCAGAGATCAGGCAGAACGTATCGCAAAACAAAGGGAGGTAGAACGAAAGAGCAAATGACAAATCGAGTGCTGTGGATAAATATATATGGCATTGGCATTTGGTGGTTGATGGAGGCGTAAAACGGCGGTCGTCATAAAGCCAAAAGCTGGGGCCACTCACTTCGCAGCCTTTTTCCCTGGCGTGCGTGAGAGTCCACGCTTCACCGGTCTGCAAAACACAACGATTCCATTATGCACATTTGAACTGCTATTGGAAAAGGTGGAAAACGTACGACCGATTTGGCGTCGTCGTGGCGGGGGTGCTGCTTTTCGCCGGCGCACTTTTTCGGCGTAGCTTCGCGGGTTTTGGGGTGGAGTCGCGAGGTTTGGCGGAGGCCTGAAAAAGCGTTTTACAATTTTAGTAATTTCAAAAGTTAATAAGCTAGTTTAACATTTCCGGGGCTCGTTTTTTTTGCCAGAAATCGATATATGGCCAGTAACGTAAAAAATTTTTTTAAGAGGCTTCTAAGCATAACGTAACTATTAAGTGCAGCAGGTTAAAAAATTTGGAAATTTCACGAAAATCAACCATTCTTGGTTTCAAAAATCTATTGGTTTATATTTTTAACAGAGCTTGTGAAGCGTTACGTTTCCAAGCCAGTAAAAACCGCACACGCATTTTTTATTAGGAAAATCCCCCCTCTAGACAAAAGAACAAAAAATGCAGGAAAAACCCGCAGTTTTTTAAGCTATACCTTATCCGCCGGCTTCACTGCAGCATCCTGGGCGGAAGTAGAAGGGCGAGGACGTTGCTTCTTCGTGCCAGACGATTCCTAAATTAAAACCAGATTAAAAAAAGAAGCTTTGTTACCGTAGTAGTTACGCCCTTCTTTTCACCCAGTGATTTTCGCGACCTTGCCGGCTTCTCGGGTTTCGCGGATCTTGACTTCTCCGGCTTCGCGGGGCTTGACTTTTGGGACTTTGCGGGGCTCGGATTTTCGGGCTTCGCCGGGCTTGACTTTGAAGGCTTTGCCGCACTTGGCTTTGCGGGGCTCGACTTCTCGAGCTTGGCCGGACTAGATTTCACCGGTGTTTTTGGCGTCTAAAATACATCGTTAAGATCTCGTTGGCTTCACGCAAAGGCTTTCTGCTAGCCTATCCAAAACTTCAGAAGCCAACCTCCTCCTCGTTGGCGTCGACTTTCTTTGGCTTCTTTTTTGTGTCAGATTTTCGCGATGAAGATGGCATGGAGCGGCGCGATTTTTTCGAAGATTGCTTCTAAAAACGTATATTTTTTCGACTTTCTCTTACCGTATCCTCCTTTGGCGCCACCGGGGTGATGCTTCCGGGTTTCTTCAACAGCCAATTATCCTAAATTCGGTTGACAAGAAAAATTCGGACATTAGTTACCAATGTGGACATGCGAGGCGTCGTATTTTTCGGGGAAGTTGAAGCCGGGGTAGTTTTCTAAAAAAAGAATATTAATATCTTTTATTGTTACAAAACCTGAGGTTGGGAATTTGGTGTTTTTATTGGAGACGCCTTACGAGCCGGGGTCGTCGCAGGAGTTGACTAAAAAATAAGCAATTAGAAAGCTAATGCTGAAGTCAAAAATACCTTTTTACGTGACGAATCAGCTGGTTTATCCGGTTTCGGCGGTGTCGTAGGTTTCGGCACTGAAGCCGGGGCACCGACCCACTCGTACGTTTGCTCCTGTAGACGCTCGAGCGTTCGGCTGCTGTACGGTATCATGTTGACGTTGCCCTCGGTGATGCCGAAAGATTGGAATGTCTGAAAAATGACAATTTCGTAAATTTAAAAAATCTCGCGCAAGGTTATTTAGATTTTCTAAAATTTACCGCCAAAAACATTCTCATCTGGATGTCGTGCAGGGCCACCTTGAACTTTTCGCGCGTTTTCACCTGCTGCGCCAGATTTCGAACCTTAAAAAATAATTCTAAACATCCTTTTCACAACTTACCTTCTCCAAATCGGTGCGCACGACCCAACGCTCATTTCTCAACGACTCTGTTTCGGCTAAAGCTTTTTGAGCGTCACGTTCAGGGTTCTCTTGTGTAATCATCAGTTCCTGACAAAAAATTAGCAAGTTCAAGCTGTAGCTTACCATCTCTTCGACAAAGCGCAGCGCATCTGGTATCAGTGGGCGGCAGCCGTTGTCCGCTCGTTTGAGCACCCAGTAATCGTAAAGCTCTTTGATGATTTCTTCCGGGTAACCGAGACTGAAACTCACATTATAGAGTTGTAACCTATTTATTTAATTAAATTTTTTGAATCTAGAGCATTTCAGAATGCTAAGCCCGTAAAGTCCCACATTTTAACAGCGTCCTCCATCTCAACCATCTGCCGGAAACCTTTCTCAAGCTCAATCAGGGATTTTGGGCGTGGCATCACGTCATCGACGGACAGCGGCTTTAGCTTTTCGGTGGTTTTAACTAAAGCTACAATTAACAATGTAAACGCAAACCCACTCGACACCGCATTTTTCGGGTCGATCGGCGTGTTGTTGGTGTGCTCGCTGCAGAAGGCGTAGTAGTAGACGAGCTGCGCATCTAAAAATGAGGCTAAAAGACTTTCTGACGACTTTCTCGCAAAAAAAGCCAAAGCGTACCCTCTTGCAGTAGAAACCGCTGGCCAGCGCGCTGTCCGCAAGAGACGTGAAACGGCACCTTGCAGCCGGGTACCGTACATTGCATGCAGGCACCTCGGCTAGTGTCGCAAACCGTACACCTGAAAATGAGAACTCGAATCTACGTTTGGAAAATGCAACAAGCTCCAGAAGGAAATTATGGAGAAATTTTTTTCAGAGAATAAAATTTTAACCCACTTCATCGTCCAGCGTTGCTCCGGGATTTCCTGGTACACCAAAACGCCAAGCGTGCCGTCTTCCGGCTCTGGATACCTTAAAAATTTTTCATAAATTATGAGCAGGAGCCTTACGCAGCTTCCGGCAAGTAGATTCCACAGCTGGGATGCGCCCAAGTTCCCGGGTTCTTCGTTTCCAGCAAGCAGCCACCCCTCATTGGGCACAACACGCAGGGCGGAGAGCGACCGCCAAGCTTTTCGCAGGTAGGACAGGTCCTGAAAAAATGAGAAAAAAATAGAAATACGGCTAAAAACTTACCATTCACCCCTTGGCAACTCATCAAGCAACAAGCATTGTGCGTGACAGGTCATATTGCACTTGCCGCAGATCGGCATTGGGTTGCCTTCCTGGGGATGGGGATCCTGTAAAGAACATGGATTCATTTTTTGATAGAAAACCTTATAAATTCAGAAACGTATCAGGTAAAGTACGTAATTTCAGGTAACCTACCAAGCAAATCACACATGGCGTATCGTCGCGCGGCGGTGGAAATTTGGCCGGTAAAGCCATCGATTCGATCAGCGCGGCGTGAAGAAACTAAACAAAAAAATTTAATCGATTCTGATCCACAAACGATGTAAGCCTCCATCTCGAAGATGTTGAGTGCGCGGCCGAGCTGGCGCAATGTGATCGAAGGCTTGCCCCCATTTTCCCGATGCTCGTTCAGCAATCCCAAATACCGCACGTCCAGATCGTCCACTAAAAAATCCAGTCGAAGACAAAATTTGGACTCTAACATTGATAAATGACCGTCTCGGCAGCTGGGATGATTTCGTGCGTAGCGGCAGAGACGTAGCTAAATTGAAAAAGATTACGATATGTGAAAATGTTTTGAAACTATTGAAAAATCGTGTACTTACGAGGGAATATGACCATCAACGACAACGGCGATTCGCTTCGCCGGACGATTCCAAGCACGCGGCCTATAGCTCAGCTTGTCATTTTTCTCCAGGTCAAAGCGCGGGGCTGTCGAGTCCGGGGCGGGGATCTGCACTTCAGAGTACTGCGGACGCCACTTCAGCCCGAATTTCAGCAACACTGGCCGGCCAGTCTCGGGCACAATTTCCGTCAGCTTCTCTTTCCGCAAGTTGCGCGAATCGCTGAGCATCTGTTGGTAGTATTCGGAGCTGAACGTTTCCTGCGCATGGGCTTTTCCTCCTAAAGCATTCGTCATTTTTGAGCCATAAAACCACCTCGCATTCCATAAGTTGACTGGCGCCTTGGGCCATCGTGCCGACCCTTCTTTTTGGGTTCTAAAAGAGGATTACTAAATTCAGGTATCAAGCTACCAGAATCTTCTCGGTCGAATCCCGGGGCTGGTGATGCACTGGAGGTAGCTAAAAATGGCATATCTTTTCGAAACAACTTTAACTTACAAGGAGTCGGTTCATGTTCCGGAATCGCGCGCCGAGCGCGTTTCCGCATAGGCCCACCACCGGGCATAGGCCTAAAACATTGCCTATACCTTTCAAAACCTTAAAAGGGATTTTAAAAGTAATTTTTGATAAAATTGGAGCGTTGCCAAATGTGTGTTTTCAAAATATAAAGTTGGGCGCGAATCTTCAAGTCAATTCCGTGGCGATACACCTTACAGAGGTGCGGCATGCTCTCAACGGGATCGTACAGGCCCTGGGGCGCCGGAAAAAACTTCAAATCATTTTTATTTTTATTGAAAAACTTTTTTGTTCTTTTTTGTAGCTTTTATATCTTGTTTTGCTAGACTTTATTCACATTCTTTACTCGTACGAAATTATACCCGTCGGTTAGCAAATTCAGCGGATGACCACAAAATTAAAAATCACATAACAAGTTAGCACCCTAGAATGGAACAAACGGCATTTCTCAGCCTCAAACTAAACGATTGGTTGCAAAAGCATAGCGGCTTCATTTCCGGATAATTTATTGCCACGCAGTCTGCCCCCTTTCCATATAGGTTCATTCGGTCGATGATGCCCGACGATACAAAAGAGCCGTCGGGCGCGATTTCAATCATCTGAAACATCATTTTATTGCGTTTTAACCTTCATTTGCTTTTCTCAGTTTTAGTTCGTGTATATCAACCTTTATTTTAGTTGTAATGTCTCTGGGATCTCTGGTCTACCGCGGAGTCACCCGCAGATGGTCGACGATCGTTTTGGCGGCGACCGGCGGCGCCTACACGCTCAACTACGTCTACGACAACCTCACCAATGCTGTTTGGGATAATGTGAGACAAGTTTGGCTTTCAAATATATGTTGTTTTTCCAGATCAACAAAGGGCTGCAGTACAAGGACGTGCAGAAGGCCAAGTCCATCCAATAGCCCGCCGTCTTCATTAATACGGACGTGCCAGACAAGGAATTCATTCAACGGGTGATTGATTAAACTTCTAATAGAATAAAGAATTTTTGAGATACACTTGCATCTTTCTTGCTCTGACTTACAGCTTTGTAGATCCCTTTGCTAGGCAGGGCGGAAAACTGGATTTCGTAGAGTTTTAAGGCTTTTTCCGGCTCGTAGGCGGTGACGGTGCGCACCTAAAGCTTCAATTTTTGTTTGTAGTCTTCGCTCACCTTGTCTAGCCGTAGTGTTTGACACAAATTGGCTAGGCCTTCTTTTTGAAGCAGTTCATTGATCGCTTGGACTGCAAAGTGACCCATCGCGATGAATTTGGAGGGATCTCTGGCAAATGCAATTTTTCGTGGTTTTGATAACTTACTTCTCGCTTTTCTCAAATTCACACATGCAGTAGTCAGTGGGAATAGGTGTGTTGACGCATGTGCTTGACGGGTTGCATAATTTTTTTTCAAAAACAAGCGCGAACCGATTTTTGTGCGGGCCGAGCGGACGTAGCAACGAGTTCCCGGAGCTGGGATTGGGCCTCAGCACTTCCTCGCAGTCGAATTTCGTAAAATTTGTAAGATGCGCGTTCTAAACTTTTTCATATGTCTTTGTTTGCGCCAACCCTCAAGATATCCTGGAAAGTGGCATAAACATCGTAGTGGGTCAACAGGCCGGTTTGTTTTTCGCGCAGGTTTTTCATTAACTGAAAAAGCCGGGGTTTGTTGTCTTTAAAAAACCAAACCTGCTTATTTTTCCTCAAAAAATTCGGCACCGCGACCATCAGCAACGGGTTGTCAACTTCTCGCCGGCCCAATTCGGTCAGGACTAGCTTTTGGATGATTTTCGAAAGAAGAATGGGAAACTTACATCTCCAAACCTCGGCCCGTGGTCTCCAATAAAAAAGACAAACGATTTGTCAAGTGTCTTCTCGTTTTCGAGGAAGAATTTCTGAATAGGCTCGTAAAATGATTTTTTCTTAAGTTTTTTCACCTCTAACCCATCATCAGCATGCCAGAGTCGATTCGGGTCGTCGTGGGCCGGTTGCACGATCCAGGTCAACGCAAATTTAGGGTTATCTGAAGGTTTAGAGATTTTAATTAAAAACATACTTTTGTAGCTTCTCGCGAATTGCCCGTGATACTTTAGCATCAGATGCCAATCTTCGACACATTTCGCTTTCAAATTTTCCTTTAGCAACTTGTTCTTTTCGATAATTTCGGGAATGGCCCTAAAAGCTTCATCTGGAGGTCATAGACGTGATAGTACGCTGGCTCATTCGTAAACGGCTGGTAATAGAAACCGTAGCAATTCGGGTACGTCCAAATGTCGCCCCAATCCGTCGTGTACATCGTCTTGTAGCCTAAAAATTTTGTTTGTAGTTTTTTGTTGATTCCAAAGTTTACCAAGCTTTTCGTAGTCTTGAAAAATGAGCGGGACTCCATCCAAATAGTCCCAGCACGTCTGGTCTTTTTCCATTTCCACGTTCAGAATCGAGCCGCCGACCATCGTTCGGTCGACTTTTTGTATGCGCTTGCCTTAAATATAATTTTTTTATACTTCATTAGACGATGTAGAAGGAGCTCAGGGTGTTTTGCTTTATATAAGCTTAGAAACTCGAACCTGTTAGCAAAGCGAATCCGTTTGGCGCTGAATTCACGCCGACCCGATTCAAGTGATGCATAAAAACTCCCCCAAAGCGTTCCTCGATGTATTTTATCGTTTTTGGTAGCGTTCTGAAGCATTTCTAGGTATTTTCATCCATCTTTAACTTTTACAACAAGCTAACCTCCGCAGCAATCAAGACCAATCTCTTACCTCCTAGCTTGCGTCGACGCCACCGAGTCCAACACTACGATGTGGACATCGGGACGCCAATTCTTGGCAAATTTCGGGTCTTCCTTTTCTGCAGGACCATTGTAGGATCTAGATATTCCGGCTGTTTTTTTAAATAACGGTCTCTGGGGGTTGTTAGTGTTTTTGTGGTCTCCAGGGTTGAAATCAAATCAATTATTTTTTCGTGTTTTCCTTACTTGAACTCTGTTTCCCGCATCTGGACATGTAGATCTCTATCAAAAATATTCCCATGCGCGTCCATGCATTCGGTGTAGATGAATTCACAGTCTAGCTTTAGGCCGTTGGCCGGATCCACTGAATGCCACCAGCCAGCAGATAAACGGCTACCATGTGCCATGTATTGGCATCTGAATTTTTGCCTGTTAAGCCTATTTCTATGTTCAGCCATTTTTTTGAGGCGGCAGTAGCTTTTAAACGTGAAAAAGAGCAATTTCTCTTAGAAAAAAACGAACCTCGCCGAGCAGCGCACCCCATCATCATGCCAAAATGCCGGGCCGATCGTGAGAAGGCCGTTTTGATCGAGTCTCGTGGCGGATGCCTAAAAGCTTACCAGTTTAACGACCGGAAAGTTAAATTATAAGCTTTTTTAATTATCGAAAACGGGTGCTTTAGTTCGACTGACATAATTCCGATTGCATCCTTTTAACGGGTTGTGATTCTCGATCGTTTTGTTGATGCCGCCGTGGAAAGGGTCGTAGACGGTCAACTGGCAAGTGGAAAAGAGATCTTCTTTTGTCTGGATGTTGCCTGAATTGTTTATTTAATAAGTTTGAAAATCCTCTTGAAAGTTTTATAACCTCGAAAATGCCTAGTTTTTTTTTGGAATTCCGATCCAGACTTATGAACGTACTGAATACTTTTTTGGCCAAAATCTTTTTTGAAAAAAATCCTTTTTCAAATCGTTTATACAGGTTGTGTACTTTTAAGACCTACGGAAACTTTTTCAAATAGATATTTTTAGTTTTAAGCGCAACGGATTTGGTTAGATTGCGGTTATTTGGTATCGTCTTGAGCTTTTATTATTTATTACTTTTAAAACCTACCATATCTCCTCTTGACTATTGCCTCTTTTGGCGGCGCCGGCGTAAAAGCGTCAAGTTCAGCCGGGACGAATTCATCTTCTACCAAGAGGTAGAGGATTCCATAAAGTAATAGAAATAGGGTGAGCCCCAGTATTAAGCTTTTTCTTTTTGGCATGTTTCCAATGATCCAACGATTAGGCTTAGACTTACGCTTAGGATTAGGCTTATGCTAAGGCCTAGGCTTTGGCTTAGCTTCGGCGTAGGCTTGGCTTAGGTTTGGACTTATGAATAAGGGAATTTCAAGGTTGGTCGAGCCGATTCTTGACCCGAGTAGCCGGGCAACAGGCCCGACAAGCGCCCCTTATCTGCCGTCAACCTCCCTAAATTTTGATAACGGAAATGTTTCCGTCTTTGAACGGCTGAAACTATAGCACGCGGGGATGTCGGGAGGAAAGAAACGGAATTTCCCAGATGACTCGCCGCTTGCATCCCGCGTTTGTGACACGAAAAGGCTGCTTAAACTTTTTATGCGTGTGATTTCTGAGCTTGTTATGTGACTGGTCCGGAAAATCTAAGATTTTAGGAAAACAACATTGAATGTTTTTTTTAATTTTCTCTATTAATCTAAACATGCCTTGTAACTTAATCGGAAATATTTTCATAATCTTTTATGTAAAATGAAACTATATTTTAGCCAGGAAAGCTATCTAAAAACTTTGAAATTTTTTTTCAAGAACTCTAAATATTGGTCCAAAAACTGCCATTTTTGGTCGGAAAATTGATATTTTTTGTATTTAATTTTTTAAGTTTTTGACGTGTAGGAATAGTAAAAAGCAGTTCAACGTACCGTTTTTGCCAATTAAGCCGATAAACCTGGAACTTGCAAAGTTTCTTTGCTCGCCCGCAACTTATTTCTTTGTAAGGCCCAGAAAGTTTAGGGATTCAACTTCACTTGCAAACATTTATTCCGTGAAAATCGATCAATCGGCAGCGAGTAATTAATGAGCATGAGTAAAATACACAGTAATGTAATGGAAATTGGCGTGTTTATTTCGGCGCACCGCCGTAGGCCTTCAGGATCGGGTCGTCCTTCTCGTCGAACTCCTCCGGCTGAAAAGAGAAAAATTGAAGGCACGCTTCACTTCGCCCCACCAGGTTGCCACGGCCCGAGGAACGCCCGTCCAAGAGCTAAAACAAATAGGGGTACATTCGAACTGTCGGAAATTTCGCCATTATGAATTTCGACACCATGAGTCTCGACATTATAGGTTTGGCGAAAAATTGAAATATCGAGATTAAGAATTTCGAAATAACCAATCTCGCATACAGTCCTCTACCACTTTGGGCAAAAACCGGCGGGCGCTGGTCCCAAAAACGGTTCTGAGCGCTGGTCTAAGGGCTGGTAATATCGCATTTTTTCGGCGCCTTCGGCGCCAACGATCACCCCCTGATTAAAGAAGGCCCCTACGTTATGTATTTTCGATGTGTTTGGATGTATTGTGAAATAAATATTTTTAATAAATTTTGTGTTGCATGTTATACCGTGGAAGAATCCAATTAAACTGAAGAGGATGATGGCGAAAACCGAGCGGAGAAAGTACATGGACGACAATTCCCTATAATTGATTCTTGCTAAACTTCCTATATATTCCTACAGACTACAGACGTATATATTCCTTCCACGTCAACGTCAGCTTCTGATTCATTCCAAATTTTATTTGACGGTTCCGACCGACGACGATGACGCTGCTGCCGATGACGTTCGCACTACAATTCTGGAATAAAGACGGTGGAATACTAAAAATCTTACATCATCCCCGCCTCCACTTCTCAATTCTGCACCTGCAATTATTTTAATCTCAAACTTCAACTGAAAAAGCGGCAAAAATTTAGAAATCGTCTGCTACTGCTGCTAATCAAATCCAGAAAAAATTTGGAGCCGTTTGGAGTATCGTTTCGGAAATCCCTACCCCGGAACTTAACGAAAATCAGTTAAATCCCGTACTCGGCGCTCTTCTGGGCGATTGCCCCCAAAGTCGTCCTCATGAATGTCCATGGTACCGTACACCTTAGGTAAAAATATCTAAGCGATCGGATTGGTTTAAGGTACCCTCCGGGACCAGCGAATGTTTACCTTAAAAATCATCGACTTTGGGCATTGGACATGTTTTGGTCCCCGTTGACCCCCTTAACCTGAACCGATCAGGACCAAATTTGGCCTCATGATACTACAGAGTTTGCTTTGTCGGATCCCACAGCTATTTGCCCCATTAGTCTCATAACCTCGGAGCTTGGGACCAGCGAATTTCGAATCTTTTGGGCGGACCTTTCAGTTTTTCCTGCCTAAGTCTTACATTTCGGATTTTCGTCGCCTGTCCTCTCTCCTCCATAGAAAGCTTTTATTTCTCTTTATTTTGATATATAAATCATAAAATTCGGTCCCGACTACGCGGAGCTACGGACCGGCGACACTTTGGGCGGGGTCCCGTTTCACACTTTTATTAAGGGTTTGGCACCTAAAAATTCATAACTTTTCAATAATAGTTCCGATATTTTTGGAAATTGCACAGCATAATGGTCAGCATATATTAGAAAATATGTAAAAATATCTAAGCGGTTGGAGCGATTTAAAGTACCCTTAGGGACCGCCGATACTTTGGGCATAACCCATTTGGCTCCTTTCACCTACCTTTCACGGTCCCGAAGAGTGGCTTACAGAGCTCGGAACGTTTAGAAACTTTTACACATTGTATACGATAACCTGCTAATCATGCTTAATAAATTTGGTGACGATGAAGCCAAGGACCGCAGCGATATGAATTTTGAGGTGCTAAACCCTTGATAAAGGTGTGAAAGGTAAACAGTCGCTGGTCCCGGAGGGTACCTTAAACGAATCGGATCGCTTAGATATTTTTACCTAGAGTGTGCGGTACCATGGACATTCATGAGGACGACTTTGGGGGCGATCCATGCAGAAACTGAAAAGTTATGAATTTTTAGGTGCCAAACCCTTAATAAAAGTGTGAAACGGGACCCCGCCCAAAGTGTCGCCGGTCCGTAGCTCCGCGTAGTCGGGACCGAATTTTATGATTTATATATCAAAATAAAGAGAAATAAAAGCTTTCTATGGAGGAGAGAGGACAGGCGACGAAAATCCGAAATGTAAGACTTAGGCAGGAAAAACTGAAAGGTCCGCCCAAAAGATTCGAAATTCGCTGGTCCCAAGCTCCGAGGTTATGAGACTAATGGGGCAAATAGCTGTGGGATCCGACAAAGCAAACTCTGTAGTATCATGAGGCCAAATTTGGTCCTGATCGGTTCAGGTTAAGGGGGTCAACGGGGACCAAAACATGTCCAATGCCCAAAGTCGATGATTTTTAAGGTAAACATTCGCTGGTCCCGGAGGGTACCTTAAACCAATCCGATCGCTTAGATATTTTTACCTAAGGTGTACGGTACCATGGACATTCATGAGGACGACTTTGGGGGCAATCGCCCAGAAGAGCGCCGAGTACGGGATTTAACTGATTTTCGTTAAGTTCCGCGGTAGGGATTTCCGAAACGATACTCCAAACGGCTCCAAATTTTTTTCTGGATTTGATTAGCAGCAGTAGCAGACGATTTCTAAATTTTTGCCGCTTTTTCAGTTGAAGTTTGAGATTAAAATAATTGCAGGTGCAGAATTGAGAAGTGGAGGCGGGGTTGATGTAAGATTTTTAGTATTCCACCGTCTTTATTCCAGAATTGTAGTGCGAACGTCATCGGCAGCAGCGTCATCGTCGTCGGTCGGAACCGTCAAATAAAATTTGGAATGAATCAGAAGCTGACGTTGACGTGCAAGGAATATATACGTCTGTAGTCTGTAGGAATATATAGGAAGTTTAGCAAGAATCAATTATAGGGAATTGTCGTCCATGTACTTTCTCCGCTCGGTTTTCGCCATCATCCTCTTCAGTTTAATTGGATTCTTCCACGGTATAACATGCAACACAAAATTTATTAAAAATATTTATTTCACAAAATACAGACGATGAATGTTATCGGAAGGACAGAAAAAGTACGGGTTTACATGCCATAATGATACATTTTTCTCATTTTTCTCCGAATTCTGATCGCTTTTCAAAAAAATTTGCGCCGCTGTCGCGGCGCTGGTCTAACCCCCAGTCAGCCGCCGCCTGGCGGCGGTCCATTTGGGCACTTTTTCAAATCTCTAGCACACTGGACTCGCATATTGAAATTTCGACATTATGGTAGCAAATCGAGCCAAATACTCCTACACGATCGATGGCCTTTTCGCGGTCGGGAATCCGATTGTAGGGCTGCGTGTTGGCCCATTCCTGCATGGTCGCCTCGTATTCGCGCTTGTACTCGAGAGGCTAAACGAGAATGGATGTCGATTTTCGAGCCATAGCTGGCGGGGCTCGAGGATTTCTGTGGTCTTGGAAAAAACCTAATGACTTTCAAAGCGCCAAAAAAACTGATATTTAAACAGCATAATTTTTTAACTGTCTATCGATTGCTGTATGTTACATCGAAATTTTCCCCGGGTTGTCAAAGTGCAGTGGAGCTCTTGATGTTGGGGGGGGGGCATCTTTTTTTTGAGGTTTTTTCCGGTCTAAGCTTGTCTCCAAGTCTAAGCTAACCAAGCCAAGCGCAGCCTAAGCGTAACCTAAGCCAAGCCTAGGCTTAAGCCCAATCCTAAGCTAAGTCTAGAACAAGCCTAAGCTAGGGCTGGGCCAAGCATAAGCTAGGCCGAGAGCAAGCCTAGACTAAGCCTAAGCTAAGCCAAAACCAAGCCTAATTTAAGCCTAAGCTAAACCTAAGCCTAAGCCTAAGCCAAGCCTAGGTCCAAGTTAAGTATAAGTCAAGCGTACGCAAATTTAAAGCTAAGCCTAGGCCTAAGACTGAGAGCCAAAAAAAAGATGCCCCCCAACATCAATAGCTCCAGTGCAGTTGACCCCCCCCCCCCTCCAGCCGGCAGCCACCCACCGTATCTAGGCTCCCTGTTCAGCTACAAGTGCGTAAAGTATACCAAAATGTTTGTATTGCTCTGGCGAACATTTTGGTATACGTTACACACCTGTAGATAAACAGGGAGACGAGATACGGTAGGCGGGGGGCCGGCTGGAGGGGGGGGTAAACTGCACTCTAACCTTTTCCCGCTAGGTTAAAAATACTTCCCTTATTAGCCTGCTACTGACAAAGATCCCACATCCAGTTCGGCCGCGTGCGCTTTTTCCAGCTTCGTTTTGACGGCATCCAAAGCTTGCAGGTAGTCCTTGGCGTCGCCGGGGATGCGGTCCCTAAGGGTGTTGTAGACCACGGTCGCCGGGTTATCTGACCTGCCAAACGTGTAGTCACATGTGGCGAGCACGATTTTGGCATTGATGCAGGCGACGACGAGACCCTCGTCACTCTGCAACAGTTCAGTTTCGAAGGTGAACAAGCTGGCTTACCCCGTGTCCGCGACGAATCACCAAATACTGCCGACGCTCGGGATCGACGACAACCTTACGGGCGTCGGCTCGGCTTTGACAGAGTTCGTCGTACAGGGCAGCGAATTCTGTAAATACATAGGTGGCAGCTTCCGTGGTACTGGCCTGTTAGCGGGGGGTGGGGGTGGAAGCCCGTTTTAGAAAAATCCCACAAACCATTGCAAAATTCGTGCTTCAAAGAATAGGTAAGCTCCCGGTCAGGAGGAGAAGAATTCTCGAGCACGACGGCGTCAATCTAGCGTTCACGCCGCTCCCATTGCTGCAAAGACTGTTCCATTTTGGTACTGGACTGTTAGCGGGGAGGGGCTTTAGCAGGGGGCAAACTACTTTATATTTCCCCCTATACTACCTGCCAATAATAAATAGTGTGTTTTTATGATGTTTTTAGTAGATCTAGATTGCTAGAAAGTTACAAAAGAGACTTTCATCTTTTTGAAAATTGGAAAATTATGGCTTTTTGGTCATCCATGCATTTTTGCCGAAAAAGTGGAAATTATTCAGGCTTTGTTACCATTTTTTCTATCCTTATTTTGACCGTACGGGAATAATGGAAAAAATTAGTCCCCCCCTGCTAACAGTCCAGTACCAGCAAGACAATCAAAACCCTCGAAAAATTGACCTCGATGATGGTGTTGATGGCGGGAATGAGGGTGCGGTGGAATTGCACGACAAGCGCCGGGTTCATCTCAAGCGTGCGATACCATCGGTTAGGGGCCTCGGTGATAGTGTAGAGGGACATGTAGGCGCGGATCGAGGGTGCCTTGGCCTCGATCAGAATGGCCATCTCGTCGATCTGGCGACCGAAGTGCACCCACAGCGATTGCCGGTTCTTAAAACGCTGTTTTTTTTTCTTGCCAAAATACCGTCTTCTCGCTCAAAATGCATGATTTTCGACCAAAATGTCTTATTATTTTTATTTGTATTATTATTGGATTTTCGCTCCAAAAATGGCTACATTTTATGCTCATACTCAGCCATACCCACCAGTCCAAACACATCCCGTAGCACTGCGCCAAACTCGCCGGGTTGGCCATTCGGGTCAGCGTACACCGCGACGCGACATGGGTCGAGGAGAGCTGAAACAACACTAATCCATAATTCCGGTCCACGAACCAATCTGGCGGCACAGGTCTTGCTTTGGCCCTTTGATCGGCAGCATCGCAGTATGGGCGCGGACATGGGGGGCGGTCTTGTACTCCTCGGGGGCGGGCAGTCCCCAACCAGCACCGTAGCCGAACTATAAAAATGATCGCCGCGTCTCGCTCTCGCTGCACTCTCGCTCTCCCCCCTTCCTCACTCTCTCGCTCTCTCGCTCTCTCTGTACTCCCTCTCACCTGATCGAAGTATGCGTTGTTCAGCAGAAGCTTTAATGTTGCACGGAACGAACGGAACCTAAGCAAAGACGGGGATGCTGAGATGAGCAGAAGAACTCACCGAAATGCGGCATAATAGTCGATGCGGTACACATGCTGCGGCTGGCCAGCGACATGGCTGCTCGTTATATTGTCATGCCCGTCCAGGTAGCCCCATTTCTTCGGGGACCTCGTGATCAGATCCTGGAACTGAAAAAATTTGATTTTTTTGAGTGCATTTTACCCCTCCCCCCCCAACCGGCGCCCAACTTTTGTATCTCGGCCCCCTGTTGGTCTACAGTTGCGTAAAGTATACCAAGATTTTCGCCTTGCTCTCGTGAGTATTTTGGTATACTTCGCACACCTGTAGGATAACGGGGAGCCGAGATACGGTAGGTGGGGGCCGGCTGGGGGGAGGTAAACTTCACTTAAGCCGAATTTTCTAACTTTCTTTGACAGTTTTTCTGCTTTGACGATAGTGAAAACATACTAAAAACGATGTAACATTTTATGTTTGATTACCAGGCCAACAGGAGCAGCACGGAAAGAAATTTGGTTCCCCCTCACCGCCCCGCGAATTCAGAACCACCTTGAAGAATTTGTGAGAGCGGGCGAGGTTGAGCAGATCGAGCGGGCTGAGCAGGTTCATCACCATCAGCCATAGGTCATGCGGCAGCTGGCTGAACTCGGCGAAACAGAGCAGCATGTGCGAGCGCTTCTGAAATGGTTGGGGTAGCCAAGATAGGTAGGTGGAACCGGCCTGGGGGGGGAGGGTAAACCGCTCAAGCAGACTGCGGGTACCAGACCATTAGCTCGGCGAGGCGGTATTTTTAGCAGTTCGGAAAACACATTTGTTTGTAGCTATTCACCCGCTGGTAATCACAATAAGTTTTGTAGTGGTAGTTCTAATCGCTAGAAAATTATGAAAAGTATATTTACATTTCTTTACTTTTTTAGTCATCCATTTTTAGCTTCAAGTCCAAAAATCTTATCTTTTTTATGAGTTTTCGATCTAGACTGTAGTCCGCATGATACTCCTCAACCTCGACGGATGGCAAGCCAAAAATGTGCATACCATCGGCCTGGGTCCCCCGCAACGAGGTCGAAGACGCAGGCAGTGCTGCGACGTGGACATCTGATTTTAGCGCTTATTTCAGGTAAGGCAGCAAAATACCAATTTGGGCGGCTTCTTGACGACGGGTTTTCCTGCAGCCAGACTCTCGTTCGAAGAGGCGGGGGCCTGAATTTTGGACAGTTAACCACACACTAATGAGAACGGTACCGGTCTCTTCGGGGGTTGCGAGCGGGAAGTGGAAGCCACCGGCGAGGTGGCGATGGGGACCACAACCTGGAAGGTCGTATGCTCTGGAGAATTGCTTGCAAAGATTGACCTGTGCGGCTACAACACTCTTGCCCTCTTCCGCATCTGTCGACTTGTTGGCGTCGTCGGGGTCGCCCGGCAACATCGCAGAGCCGTCCGAGACGAGGGGTCGGAATGAGTAAAAACCGTGAGGCGGTAATGGTCACCGGCGATGCTCACCGAACAATTCAAATTTCCAATCCAAATATCTTAAATTATGTTAATTTTGGGGCAATTGCACAAGCGATAAAAGGATAAGGAGAGAGAGAGAGAGAGAGAGCTAAAAAAGAGAGAGAAATATATATAGAGAGAGAAATATAGAGAGCGAAAGAGCGAGAGCGAGAGAGGGAGGGAGAGCGAGAGAGCGAGAGAGCGAGAGATCTTCGAGCATCTTCGTACGCCTTCTGGATGTATGGCTAGTTGTCAATGTATTTTCGACTGGTCCTTTTTCTGCAACTCTGCCGGCAGATCCGCGGCACCGGCCAGCGATCGGGGCGCGTCTTGGATCTGTTTACCTGAAAAAAGAAGCTTAAACAGTTCGTTACAGTACTCCTGATGTTCAAAAACCGACATACCCATCAAGAAGGCGAAGGCGTTCATGATGCTGCTCTCGCCGACACGATTCAAGTGTTGCATCTGGACGGCGCCCATGTGCTCTTTCAGAAATTTGAAGGTGCGCGGTAGGGCTCTAGAAAATTATGTTTTACAAAATCAGGCGCACTTCAGCATCTTTTTTTTTTGCGTAAAAAATCTGGTTCTTGAGTAGTCCCGGGGTGGGGGGGGAACCAAATTTTTTCCTGTCGGCACACGGGGATGTCTGGAGGACAGAAACGGAATTTCCCAGATGACTCGCCGCTTGCACCCCGCGTCTGTGACACGGAAAGGCTGCTTAAACTTTTTATGTGTGTGATTTCTGAGCTTGTTATGTGATTGGGCGGGAAAATCTCGGGTTTTAGGAAGACAGCATATAATGGTCTTAATTTTGTTGTATTAATCTAGAAACTCCTAGTAACCTAATAGTAAAGTTATTCTTACAAGGTTTTTGTAAAATCCTACCTTATATAATTTTGGCGTGTATCTTTGTGTGTGTGTGTGGATGTCAGTTTGGAGGCCCGATTTGAGGGCCTTGCCGTGTCCAAAACGTCCCAATTCTCCGTCACTTGGGGGAATCGACCCTCCTCTTTTCGATGCTGTTTTTAGAATTTCGATAAAATACAAGTTTACAAAGTTAAAGCCGGTTTTATTCATTTTTGGGGATCTGGGGGGCTAATTTGCATAATGTGAAAAAATACAAATTTCCTCATTCTTACGATCTGCTCGCGCGCGTGTGGTCGGGGGGGGGGGAGGGTCCGCAGGACCCGCGCTATCGCAAAATCAAATTTCTCATGCAAAGGCCGCATTCCAGCGCCCAAGGCCCGCGAAGCGGGTTTTGGGCGCTGGTAAAACTATATTTTCACTAGCAATACTATCTATAAACTTTGAAAATTGGAACTCGAAATATTGGTCCAAAAACGGCCATTTTTGGTCGTAAATCGATATTTTTTTTGTATTATTTTTGTAATAAAATGTGCTAGTTTTTTCCGTTCAGGAATAAGCTATTTTCACTAAAAAAATTGTTTTTAAGAAAGAATTACTTCTGATTAAGTATTTTGCTTTTCTCGATCTTGGAAACATTTATTCCGTGAAAATCGATCAATCGGCAGCGGGAAATTAATGGACACACGTAAAATACACAGTAATGTAATGGAAATTGGCGTGTTTATTTCGCCACACGACGGTAGGCCTTCATGATCGGGTCGTCCTTCTCGTCAAACTCCTCCGGCTGAAAAGAGAAAAATTGAAGGCACGCTTCACTTCGCCCCACCAGGTTGCCACGGCCCCAGGAGCGCCCGTCCAACATCTAAATCAATGGGGTTACTTTCCAAATGTCCAAAATCAAAATGACGAGTCTCATAATGTCGAAATTTTATAGTGTCGAAATTTTTTACAGAGGATTGGGGGAATTTTTCCGAGAAATGTGCTTACATAAAATTCCATTCTGAAATTATCAATCTCCCATATTGAAATTTCGACATTATGGTTTCAAATCGAGCCAAATACTCCTACACGATCGATGGCCTTTTCGCGGGTGGGAATCCGATTGTAGGGCTGCGTGTTGGCCCATTCCTGCATGGTCGCCTCGTATATGCGCTTGTCCGCGAGAGGCTAAACATGGATGGATCTCGATTTTATTAAAAAAACAATAGAAAAAAGAATACTTTGAAAATTTTTGACTTTTTGGTCAAAAATTTTTGGAAATGACCAAAAAAGGTCAAAATTTTCGAATTTCAAAAAATGTTAAAATATTTTTCATAATTTTTCAGCAATCAAAAGCTGCAAACAGGTGGTTTGTGGCTAGAAACACAGAAGGTGGTTTTCCCCCTTGCTACCACCCCCCGCTAACAGCCCAGTACCGAATCCTAATGACAAAGGGCCCCACTTTCAGTTTTGCCGCGTGCAGCTTTTTCATCTTCTTTTTGACGGCATCCAAAGCTTGCAGGTAGTCCTTGGCGTCGCCGGGGATGCGGTTCCTAAGGGTGATGTAGACCACAGTCTCCGTGTTGTCTGACCTGCCAAACGTGTAGTCGCACGTGGCGAGCACGATTTTGGCATTGATGCAGGCTACGACGAGTCCCTCGTCACTCTGCAACAGTTCAATTTCGAAGGTGAACAAGCTGGCTTACCTCGGGTCCACGACGAATCACGAAATACTTCCGACGCTCGGGATCGACAACAATCTTATGGGCGTCGGTTCTGCCTTGGCAAAGTTCTTCGTACAAAGCAGCGAATTCTGGAATTTATAGGTGCTAGCTTCCGTGGTACTGGCCTGTTAGCGGGGGAGGTGTTTGTTGGGAAATATTACATTACAAAAAATATTGCACAAACCCTCGCGAGATTCGTGCTTGAAATTATTGACTGGCCACTGGTTCGGAGGAGTGAAATGCTGAAGCACGACGGCGTCAATCTCGCGTTCACGCCGTTCCCATTGCTTTGCTGCAAATATGGCCGCCAAGTTTTGGTACTGCACTGTTAGCGGCGAGGGGGATTTTTAGCAGGGGGCAAACTAATTTATGTTTTTCCGGCTATACCTCCCTGTCCATGATAAATAGTCTATGTTTATGAGGGTCTTAGGACATCTTGATTGCTAGGAAGTTACAAAATATATTTTAAATCTTTTTGAAAACTGCAAAATTTTGACGTTTTTGGTCATTCCTACATTTTTGAGCAAACAATCAGAACTTTTCGAAGACCTTGCAAGTTTTTTTTGGAGCTTTTTATAGCTAAAAACCGTGCAAAATGCTATAACAAACATTGATTTAGTTCCAGGGCGTACGGGATTACTGGAAAAAAAATTAGTCCCCCGCCCCCTGCTAACAGTCCAGTAACCGCGAAATTCACCTCGATGATGGTGTTGATGGCGGGGATGAGCGTGCGGTGGAATTGCACAAGAAGCGCCGGGTTCATCTCAAGCGTCAGAGGCAGACGCGCCTCGGGGATAGTGTAGAGGGTCATGTAGGGACGAGGGACATGCATGTAGAGGGACATGTAGGCACGAATGGATGGAGACTTGGCCTCGATCAGGATGGCCATCTCGTCGATCTCGCGCCCGAAGTGCGCCCACAGCGATGGCCGGTTCTAAAAAACTTTTTTTTTTGCGCAATATCGAGAAAAAAAAATCATTTTTTTACCCCCAAGATCCAATTTTCTAATAAGAGATGCTTAACGCATTTCCTAAGCTATTTTTTACTATTCCCTCAATGTGAAAACTTGGTGCTGGACTGCTAACAGGGGGAACCCGATTTTTCCCAGTCATCCGGTACGCTCCGAATCTTTTATTGGCCAATTGCAAAATGCCGATTTTTTTGTCAAAAATGACCGATTTTGAGCAAAATTTTTCCAAATCAGCTGTGTTTGGTTTTCCGCTTCAAATATCGTCACCCACCATTCCAATCACATCCCGTAGCACTGCGCCGAAGGCGCCCGGCTGGCCTTTCGGGTCGGCGTACACCGCGACACGATATGGCTCGAGGAGGGCTGGAAAAACACTCCATAATCCGTAATTCCGGTTCACGGACCAATCTGGCGGCACAGTTCATCCGTCGGTCCTTTGACCGGCAGCAAGGCAGTATGTGCGCGGACATGGGGGACGCTCTTGTACTGCTCGGGGAAGGGCAGTCCCCAGCCGGCACCGTAGCCAAACTATAAAAAACAATGATTTCTCACTGCACTCCAACCCGTGATGTACAGTGCGTATCAAAAAGATAGAGCCACTTAGTTTTTCACCTTTAACTTCGCGCCGTGGTATTTTCTAGCGAAGCTAAGCATACACATCTTGTAGCCCTTAAAAAGGCGCATCTTTCTGGGTAGTCGAAATTTTTCTATGATTGATATTAAGCTTTTTATGATGAAAACAAGCAAATAGAGCCAAAAACACAAGTATCAAAAAGATAGAGCCACAATTTGCATCCACTTTACATGCGCTTTGAGCTTGCAAATTACATGGTAATTGTCTTGCAAATCGTGCGCTTCATTCAAATCAACGAGGGCCGCAGAAAAATTTTATCGCTCTAACCATTTCTAAGCGCGCAAATGAAGCGAACACTTAACAAAAAATTAGCCTTTTTATTGCTACTATTCAATCAGATTTTCCTGCGGCCTTCGTTAATTTGGATGAAGCGAACGATTTGCATGAGAATTACCATGTAATTTGCAAGCTCAAAGCGCATGTAAAGTGGATGCAAATTGTGGCTCTATCTTTTTGATACTTGTGTTTTTGGCTCTATTTGCTTGTTTTCATCATAAAAGCTTAATATCAATCATAGAAAAATTTCAACTACACAAAAAGATGCGCCTTTTTAAGGGCTACAAGATGTGTATGCTTAACTTCGCTAGAAAATACCACGACGCGAAGTTAAAGGCGAAAAACCAAGTGGCTCTATCTTTTTGATACGCACTGTATCTTTAAAGTGCTTTGAGTGGGCTTTTCATTAATCAAAACTATAAAAATCTCTTAGCAAATTTTGAATACACGAGCATTTTTAGCTTATCGTCATTTTCTTATTTTTGGAACACAAAAATTTTTGAAAACGCTGATGATGTTGAATGAGTTTCTATAATCTAAAACCGTTGATTTGGTAGGTTTGGTAAAACAATTTGGTTCCAGTCCAGGGACCGGAACGAACCGAATTAGTCGTCCGGTCCACACGCACCTGATCTAAGTACGCGTTGCTGAGCAGGATCTCCAATGCGGAACGGTACGAACAGAACCTAAGCACAAAAAAATGAGCACACAAGAGAGGAAGATGATGATGAGCAGAAGAACTCACCGAATCCCAGCGATAGCGGTCTTGTGCTGCGGGCGGCAAGCGACGTGGCTGCGCGTGATATTCTTCTTCTGCAGGTAGCCCCATTTCTTCGGGGAACTCGTGACGTGATTCTGGAATTCGAAAAATTGACTTTTTCCACCCAAAATGACCAAATTTTCGAATTTTTGAAACATTTTCCTAGTTTCTAGTAGAAAGTTTTTCGGTTCTCTTCTATTTCGCGGGGGGGGGGGATTTGCTTCGCCAAAACTTCTATCTTTTCGCTATTTTCTCGGTATTTTTGCAACGCCATTCGATAGAGCATCAAAAATATACTAAGAGTTTTTCTTTTAGCTAAAAATATTGTAATATAAAAAAGTGATGGCAAAAACAAAAAAAACTATTGAAACTGGTGCCGAAATGTTAGTTTTCGGCATTTTCGCCAGTTTTTCGATATTTTGAACCCGTCATTCGATAGAGCATCAAAAAATATACTAAGAGTTTTAATTTCATCTAAAACTAATGTTTTATAAAATAGTTATGGCAAAAACAAGGTTTATACGGTGTTTCCACATGGGATCGTGGAGTTGAAAGCTAGTTTTCGACATTTTCCATATCTTTCAAAAATACCTTTACTGCCATTCGATAGAGCGTCAAAAGATATACTAACTAGGGAAGTCCAAGATACCCGCAACACGAATCGGGCTGAAAATTTGCACAGTTGGAGAACCGACCATGCTGATCATTGCCTCGTTTTCCGAATTTGCTACCGAGTTTAAATAATTAAGATATTAAACTTTTAAAATGGGCCAAAAACCCGCTACTCTGACCCTGGCTCACTAGAGCCGGTGGGGTTCAAGAGGCCTTTGGGACGCCCCCTTTCCAGAGCTTCGGTAGTCAACTGGTAAGCGCCTCGCTTCCCAGGTAGAGGGTCCGGGTTCGGACCCGGTCCGCGCATTTTTCTTTTGCTTTTTGCTAATTTTGCGCCGCACATGTGGCGCGTGTCCAGATTGTGTTTTTTACTACACGCAGATGAGCCGTTTGCTGCCGTCGAATTACGGAATACCCGTTTTTTAACAATTTTTTTTACTAGTGTTGTCTTTATAAAGTTTTTTCTAAAATTTATGATTTCGTTGAATTTCATTTCTAGGATGTACGTAAATGGGTGTGCATAACACAATCTGGACACGCGCCACATGTGCGGCGCAAAATTAGCAAAAAGCAAAAGAAAAATGGGCGGACCGGGTCCGAACCCGGACCCTCCACCTGGGATTCGAGGCGCTTACCAGTTGACTACCGAAGCTCTGGAAAGGGGGCTTCCCAAAGGCCTCTTGAACCCCACCCGCTTAGTGAGCCAGGGTCAGGGTAGCGGGTTTTTGGCCCATTTTTAAAGTTTAATATCTTAATTATTTAAACTCGGTAGCAAATTCGGAAAACGAGGCGATGATCAGCATGGTCGGTTCTATAACTGTGCAAATTTTCAGCCCGATTCGTGTTGCGGGTATCTTGGACTTCCCTAGTAAGAGTTTTAATTGCAACTCAAAATAGCATCATATAAAAGAGTTATAACAAAACGAAGAAAATTTCCCCCCCGCACAGTTTCCCCTCCCCCTCGAAATAGAACTGTACCGTCCACCAAAGAAGCACCTTGAAAAATGTGTGTGAGCGGGCGAGGTTCAGCAGATCGATCGGGCTGAAGAGGTCCATCACCATCAGCCATACATCAAGCGGCAGTTGGCTGAACTCGTCGAACGACAGCAGCGGGTCCGCGCGCTTCTGCAGTGGATTGGATGCGTTAGTCTAGGCAAGGCGCAAAAACCTAGGTTCTGGACTGTTAGCGGGGGAACCAAATTTTTGATTGATATTCTCTACGGACCTATGACAAAATGTAAGCCATTTTTATAGCACGTTACATAGCATTTTTATAGCAGTTTTTACTTATAAAAACAATATAAAAACATAAGAAAGGTGCTAATGCACTTCGGGGCGGGGGGCCGTGCGGATTTTGACTACAATACGCTCCAAACGCCGCTTTTTAAGCGTTAAGCCTCTGAAAAAGTTAGGCCAAGCTTAAGCCTGATCCTAGCTTCAAGCAAACGAAGCGTAAGCTTGGCTTGAGCCACGATGAGCTTAGCTCTAGGTTAAGGCCCAAATGACCCCATTTTGACCTCGCATGGCAGTATAATGCAAAAGATAAGCTTACTTGCGCTTAAACTTAAGCCTAACCTCAAGCGAGGCATTAGCACCATAATGCAATTAGTGCATAAGGCTAAGCTTAGCTTAACTTTTCCAGGGGCTTAAAGCTTAAAAAAACCGCGTTTGGAGTGTATTGTAAGAAGATATAAAATGGTAAAATTTGTGAACCTGTGGCTTCTCGTCGTCATCTTCGCTGTCCTCCTCCGTAGACTCGCCACCGTAATCGCTGTCTTGCACCATAAACTCGTCATCGCCATCACTCTCTTGCTCCGTGGACTCGTCGCTGTCATCA